TTAGTAATCGAGGTACTCGAATCATTCGAGGAATCGTTTCAGCCCTAGTTTTACTGGAGCGTTTCGGACCGGCTGAAAGTGTTCAAGTCTTTTTTATACGTGTGAAAAGTGCATTACAAAAGTCTAGGTGACAGGAAAGCCATGAATAAGAATCTCAAGTTCCTGTTTTTCACATGACCAGAGTGAGATATTTCAAGTAACTTTGAGTAGATACTGATTGGTTAATTTGTCAAAAACAACACCCAAATTTTTTAAGTATGACTTAACAGCAGAACTCAAATGACTAATATCTGATCATATTTGAGGAACTATCCTCAACAGGTCACTGATCACTCTATCTTTTTAGAGTATATTTCAGTTTTTAAACATTTTAAAATTGCTTTATGTACCCCAATAGTTAAGAGAGTGAAAAAAAACACCTAATTCTTGAGGAAATCTTATGCAGATTAATGCCATTTGCATATTAGTGGTAGGTGGTATAATGAAATGAATGAATGATCTAGTGGGCCCCACTAGGGACCTTGTGGTACCCCATAGTTCTGACTTCTTGTGATTTATGCAGACGTTATGCTTCTGTTTCAGTTTCACAGTATGTTCTACTATTAAAAACCATTTTTATTAGCCTCATATGAGATTATATGAAAGCAAAACAAATGTCAATCTGCTGTTGGAGACATATGTAGCGATGTATTATTTTACATGTCACTCTCATGAGCGTCAGTGTAGGAAAAAATACACCTCGTAAACTTTTCCCCATTTTTTTAAACTAGGTTTTATTGGGATTTTATGTGACAAACCAACACAAATTTGAAAACTGGGCTCAAAGTCCTGGAAATAAAATCTACTGTAACCAGTTACTCAGAAGTCACCCAAGAGTCCATCTTGGAATAAAATTAGAGTTTATATTGTTCAGTATCACCATCAGGCATTGCAGTCTCTTTAACGCTGAGCTTAAATAACAACAAACTCCTAACAGTAAACTGTAAACCGATACCGAACTTTTCACAGATGTTTGGATTCCTCAGCTATCAGATTACCTCTCTTTAACTTTTCACCCCGCCGTGGAGTCTGAACCTGCTGTGTTTTCCCTTTTTGACGCCGTGCAGCATACCTAGAGGGTACAGTGAGTGTGGATGACGGACCTCTGCAGGCGAGTCGGTACTTGTCCCGCTGTGTGGCAGGTGAAACCTGTCTAACCCCGCTGTCAGCGGACGTGACAAGCGCCAGGAGGCGGGGGCGTCTGCAGCGACTCGGGCACCTGTAGGCCGCTCTCGCCCCTGTCCAGGAATCCTGGCAGTTTGCTGAGAACCATGTTTACGTTTTTCCTGACAGATTTACTGCAGCAGTGACCAGTATAGAAAAAGTACACATCAATGTTTTTCTCACGTTTTTCCTTTATTCAGTCTGATAGAATTGGTAAAATGGTACAAAAATTTGTTAATGAGATAGGAATGCTTAGGTTTCTTCAAATTGCAAAGCTTGCATGCATTTTTTTAGGAATTGGTTTTGAAGTTACATATTTGTTCAAATTTAAAAAGTTAAAACTAAAAGCTAAGACAGATAATCGGTGAATAAAAATGAGCTCCTCCACCTTCTCCCAGTGCTAACTAGGAACAACCAATCACAACCAGGAGGAGGGTCTTAGTGCTGTCAATCACTTGCATGCTCACTCTGCCCTATCCTGTGCTGCGCTACAGCTGGTTCACCACAACATAACATGCCACGAATGCTGAGGCTAGTTAGCATAGCCACTGATAAATGATTTTCCTGGAACGATTTTTATTTTTTTGTAAATATTGATACATAATAGTGTTTTTACGAAATTTCTGGACTTTGTGACGTTATGGTCAAAGATTGTAACTCTTTGTCTCACTGTTGTTTTTTTGTGTATTTGCAAACTGTTTTCTGGCTTTTGATGTTGCAGTTTGGGTAAAGCTTCTTCCTACACGAGTGACCATTCAGCTCATGTTGGTGCAGGACATTTTTTCACTGTGACGAATTACATGTATGAGCTCCAGACATCATCTTTACAAAGTGTTTGCTTTTGTTTTAAAGATTATTCACACTTTTCTTTACCAAAACCTGTTTTTTCGCCAATATTTTAGGAATTATTGACTTAAAACAAGCCTTATATCTTGCTGAAAAGTTACTTTTAAGTCAGTTTTATTATATTTCTAGTGCGATTAAGATATTTCCACTAGAAACTAGACCAGAAATACTTGGTAAGACTTTGTCTTTTTGTGCCATGCAAACTGTTTTACAACATCTTTTATGTAAACATTTGTCTTTGAAGAAAGTAATTAGCTTTATTTCTCTCATTGTGGCAGTTGGATAGTAGAAATAATTTGAGTGAACACGCTCTGCCTTTTTACAGGTGGACGTAAACATCTGGTTTCAGGTTGAGGTGCCAGTGTTTTTAAAACAGGAATGTGAGCGAGTGGGTCATGTTGACATGCAGTCGCTTTATTCTCAGCAGCTTTTGTTGCTCCTTCTTCATCCATGTTCGGCGCTATCCTCCCTCCTCTTTATTTTCCGCTCTTGACTTAAAGGAGACAAACGCAGGGGCAAATGCTTTCTTTTCTCTTTGTGCTGGAAATTGGCTTCTTTCTGGGGGGGTTTTTTCCCCCCCTGTCTGTCTCTCCTCTGAGCGGAGAGGAGGCGGAGGAGGCAGTGCCGGCTTTTGCGAAATTTAGCGTCAGGATCACAGTTTTGTCACTGCGCACACAACGCAGCACTGGCATGGATCCACCACGGAGATATCATCGTTTTCCGTTTCAGTCTTCATTCCAAATGTCTGATGCTTTTTTGGAAAGTTTCGCCGTTGTTTGCCTGCAGATGACTGTCAGACCGGTTTGGATAGAGTCAAGGAAACAAACACCAGGAAAGTAGTAACAGGAAGCAAAAGACGGGAGAAAAAGGTTTGGATGGCTGATTCTGAATAAGTGAACAGGAGATTGGGATTGACATGAGGGTGAGATGAAGTGATTAGTTTGTAAGTGGAGATACAGAGGAGAGAGAGGGCAGTGGGAGGGAGGACAGACACAGGGTCCAGCCCTCTGGGACAGCAGTTTGCAGAACATCACCGGACACCGACGTGAGAGGGACGCCGCCAGTTATTCTCTGAAACCAGACCTACCTCTGATGCCACACACACATTCCTCCATCTGCTGCCCAGAACCTCTGCCTGCTGATGATCCAACAGATCTGCTGTGGAAAATGTGGGATTAAACTTCCTGAGGCAATGGATTGGAGTCCAAGACTGTTTGAGTGAATGACTGGAAGAGGAAACTTTCACCCGAAATCCATTTCTGCGTCTGGACTCTGTCCTCGACTCGGCGCTGATAGCCGAGCGGTCCATGGTGGTGGTGAGCGATGTGGGTCTGACTGAACTCGGCGCACAGATGCCTGCCGCTATGCTCCCGTGCTCCGCGCCAGCCGGGTCGGACTGGAGCTTCCAGAACCCGGTGGGGGTGGACTGCAGCTCGCCGGAGCCGCGCTGCATTTGGGTGGCCGTTCTCCACGGAGCGGCGAGTCCAGCGCCACGCGCCGAACCGGCTTCGCCTGGCCAAAACGCACATCAGCTCAGGGTAAGGAGAGGTCAGCCAGAGACTGAGGCTGGTGTTTCCGTTTCTGTTCCATATTTATTTATTTGTTTACTAAACCATTAGGTTCAGTAAAGCTGCAACTATTCTTACTGGGTTACAACAGAGTTATATTGATATAAAAGCTTTAAATTTACCTTCAGCAACACAAAAGCAGAGAGATATTTACATTTTCCCTTTGCACAACCTATTGCAATTTTTATTTCTACTTTTTGCAAACACATTTTTACTAATTCAGCTACTTTTACTGTCATTTTTATTGTATACTGAAAAGAATACAAAACTACGGAAGAACATTAAGCCCACAAATCTGACTTTAATCTTAAAATTCTGACTTTAATTTTAAATTCTGACTTCAATTTCCTGAGAAAAGTCAGAATTTTTTTCTGTAAAAAAAAACAAAAAACACCAAATCTTACCAAGCATTTTTGTGTAGTTTCTTGTGCAAATATCTGTTTACACAGGAAATTATATAAAACTAACTTGCAAGTAAGTTTTCAGCAAGATAAAAGAGCTTGTTTTAAGTCAGTAATACCTCAATATTTATAAAAATCCTGGCAGATTATGTCACTTATAACAAGATATTTTCCCCAAGTTACAAGTGAAAGCGGAACCCATATCTTTTTTCATCAATATTGAGGAATCTTCAACTTAAACAAACTCTTTTATCTTTTAAGTTGGTCTTGTCTTATTTCAAGTGTACTAAGATATGTTAACTTGAAACTAGATTAAAGATATTTGGTAAGATTTGATGTTTTTGTCTGTTTGTTTGATGGTGAAGACCTCTCCATCTCCCCTCACTATCTTTTCCAAGGTCCTAAAGCCTGACATGTTGCAGCCGAAGCGTCGCCAGACCTATTTTTCAAATCCACCGGATAACTAACGTGAAATGTTCCTTCATCCTTCATCTTAACCCTCAAGTTGTTTGTTTTTAGCGTTAAAATAAGCAAGTGTCATCCGGTTGCTTGTAACCAGAAACAGTGTAGGAGGTATTTTGTTTTTATCCATCAGAATTAGCTTTGCAGACTCCGAGAGGAGCTGTGTATTCTTTGGAAACCGCTGCATGCGGTTTGTCAGTTGTGCATGTCAGCAGCGTTGCAGTAACTTCATTGTTTGGAGTCATTTAAGCGCTCAGCTGCTGACAGGTTCCTTAACCTCTCAGCGTTACCTGCCAGAGCGACGTCATACCTCGCTGCTTTAAGGCTTAAAACTCTTCACCGCTTCAATATTTGCAGCAAACAAAAAGTGCACACTTTTCCTTCTTTTCATGTTTATTTTTTCTTGACTTTTTGAATTGTGTTTGAGTGTAGATTTCCAAGATTTAAATTGGTTTTAAAGATAGGTGGTAATCAGTCTTCCTATCATCAAGAGTTTATGTGTGTGATTCTTCTTCTAATTAGCATCTAAAGAATGATGAAGGGAGAGCTTAAGTGCCACTTTTGGTTGCTTTTTGTCATAAAAGGAGCAAGATGTGCCAAGATATTCCAAAAATTTGGGGTGTTTACATCACTATTTTATCTCATTGTCACATTATTTTTTATTTGGAATATTCTTCCGCTTTTCTACCTATTTTCATTTTTTTTCTGTGTTACCATCCCCCGCATCCTTGACTGTTAAGAACTGCCACAATCAGGAATGTGAGCGTGGGGGCAGGAGACAAACACTCACTGTATACGATGTTTGTTCTCCCGGATAAACAAGAAACGCGTTTCGTTTTCTCTGAAGGCTAAAAAGAAACACAATCTCCGTCTCCGTCTGCTGCAGATGCCGTTAAAGTTAACAGGTTCTGCGTAAGTCTGGAATTTCATGTTTATAATATCGCTAAGATGCCTATGATGTGCGAACGGCAGAAAAATACTCGAGTTGCTTGGTTTGAGGTCAGTGTAATAAAAACAGAAGTAAAATTGTGGAAAGAAAAACAACCCACAAGTTTAATTATAATAAACCTGATCTGGAATTAAGTTTTATGGAATGGAGTCGGGTCATTTCATGCAAGGCTAAAAAAAGGCTTATAGGCTCATGTTGGAGACGGATTGTGGTAATTTATTTTTTTTTTTTTACAATGGGGTGGAAAAAATCTCAACTCATCTTTCATTTCTTTATATTTTCAGCGAGCAGCGGTTTTGTCAGGAATAGTTTCAGTCCTTCTTTAAGGTCAAACGGAGAGAATATCAGCATTTATACAGATTTCAGTTCAGTGCTGAATAATCTTGTTTAAGTTTTAAGGATTTTAAACAGACTAAATTGTTGAAAAGACGAAACATTGCCCTTTAATTTAACAGTGTATAATAGCTGATTCATTTGCCATTTAAGACATGTTTTTTTGCTTGCACTAAAGTGTTTGTGCGCCCGCTGTGGTGTGCTGCTCTGGGCAGAAAGCCATATAGTTAGTGTCAAAAACTGTTTTAATACCACTAAAATAAATTTTGTAGGTTTTCTTGAGATTTTCTGTCAAACTTTGGGTGCTTTTCTTCTACTTCTGTAAGATTTTTTTGGTTTTGCTTGGTCAATCAAAACTCACTTTAATATTTTGACAGGAATATTAATTGGAAGTAGATTATTCTTGGTCTTCCTTATACAACTTCCCCCATTTTCCCTCCTTTTTACACACAATTTATCAAAAAAAAAATTTTTAATGCAGAAACTGTAAGTACAAAAAACCTGACTGATATCCAAACTTTTTTCTCTTTTTTTTGAACGAACATGTTTGACTTAAAACAAAAGCAAACAAAGATTTTGCAGCTGTGTTTTTTTCCTCCTGACCAGAGGAAAAAGTCCCCTGGCCGCATTTAAACCTGCGTCATGCACCATGTGTGTGTCTGCCCACTGTCCAACCAACCTATTCTAAATCTGCAACTCTCCTTGGGAACACTTATACTTTTAGGTTTCTTTCAAAATACCCAAGGCTGAGATGCATCAGTTGAACAACAGGAAAGCTGCATGAAAACCCTGTTCAACTGATGTTGCGTCATCACCTGCCAGCCTGGTTGGACAGTCAACTGGGTTAAACTAGTTTTTGAACACATATTGACACACGGGCACGTTGAGAAGGATATCTTGACTCCTCCACTGCTTCTGGTGCAGTCATGGATCAGCTTGTCGGGACGTAGGATGCATCTGGACGTGCAGAGGTGGAGGAGTTCTCCCTCTGTGTGGCCGGTAAATCGTGATGCTGCCATCTGCGTCTTTCTGCTCTGGATTAGCGGCTCGTCAGCAGATACAGCGGCCTGTTAAAGCTCCACTTTTCAAACAGGTTGCAGCTCTCAGCTGTTTAAAAGAGCATTATTGTTCTGTTCTGCCGGGGTTTCAGCGGGACAGCTGCCGCCTGCCGCTCCCGATGACTGTAAATTCAGCTTTTTGATACGAACGTGTACCAGAAAAGCCTATTACGCGTATAAAACCATTTGTTTCTGGAGTTTAGGAAGATTATGGATCATTCTTATCACTTTCAGCAATTTTAAAGTTTAGAATCTGCGCTGAGTTGGTGGAAATAAAACAATTTATGCTTTTCTTATTGTATTTTTAGGTCATAATCTGTCATTTCAGGCTTTGTAATTGGTGTCAGGAGCAGAAACAACCGCAGGGTTTCCTCCGGCTGCTGCTGTTGTCTGTACCAACAAAACTAAACTTGTGTGTGGCAATACAGGTTACGCTGCATGTTGGGTTGTTTTCCATTGTAGTGTGTTTTCGTGATGACATCATCGCATGTGAATGGGATTCCACAGAGATGTGTGCTAAGAAACATTCCGATGTTTTTTGTTGTAGTAACTGGTATGAGAGGGAAATGGGTTTTTGTTTATATAGCGCTCATAAAAAAACATGCCAATGTGGTTTTTGACAAAAAGTTCATGTTTTTAGGTGTCTGGAAAATGAATTAGCAGGCACTGCCCCTCAACTAGCAACCCCAGCAAAGCTTAGCCTGTTACCTAGCAACCCCAGTGAAGCCCAGCCCGTTACCTAGCAACCCACGCTGATCTCTAGCACGTTTGGTCAGCTGGTGTTTTTGCAGGAAAAGACTAGTACTTTGTCGTTGACTTACCATCCAGAAACCTCTGGCTGCATTCTTATTGGTTATGCAGGAGGCTCCACTTCTGCTTTTCAAAGACATACGGTTGTTTAATTATGCATCTCTTTGCAGCCATTTTTACCTGCAAGTACAAGCGTTGACTTGGGGTGGGGGAGGCGTGGCCAGCAGCAGCAGCAGCACCTAATTTAGGTTTAAAGTGACAAGAGGCCCTAAATGTCAATGTGTAAGATTCTCAGAGAAGAAACTTCTCTTCTCAGATTTTCTTCTCTCTGAGTTAGATTTCAACTCAGAGAGAAGAAAGTGTTATATTTCTTTTTCACTGTTTCCCTCAAGTCTGTTTGAGAAGCCAAGATTAGCCTGAAAAAAACCCTTAAAAAAAACTCCATGGACATTCTTCGTTAAACACAATGTCCTTTCCTGGAGGAGCCCGACCGTGTCGGCGTGTCTGAGTGGATTTTTTTTAAAACCACAAGGTGAGAGGTGACAGGAGAGGTGTTTATCCGGCTGAGGGAGGAGGGCGGGTGGAAAGGTCAGCTGCAGACTCGATTATCCGAGAAGGAACACGCAGCCCACACCGTCCAGAGCAGCCGAGTGGGATTCGGTCCAGACCCGCTCAGACCCCTTGTGTTTTGGGTAATCACAGGGTTTTGGTATTCCCAGCGCCGGGAGGGGCCATGTGGTCGAAACTAGCGTGCTGGAGCCTGTCCCTCTGCTGAAGCGCGATACTCCTCCTCTTCCTCATCCTCACTCACTCTCTCCCTGTGACATGTCGGCGTGTGTTTTGACTCGTCCAAACCAGAAACCGCTCCTTCTGAGGAATTCGGTTCGATTCTTCCCCTGCTGTTGTTTCGTTTTCCCTTTTGTCGCTTTGATTCGATCGCTCCTTCCGCTCGCACTTGTTCGCGTCTCTCTGCATTCCTCTAAGAGAAAATAGCAGGCCTCACGTTCCATTGTTTAGACTGCCAGGCTTGAAATACTCCAGATTTATGGAAGTCGAATTCGGAAATATGCAGACATTTATGTGTTCTCCAACACAAATCTGCAAACAAATCTTTTCCTGTATTTATCTTTTTCGTCAATGGAACTTAAAAGTAGAGGGGAAAGAAATTGTGCCGCGAAAGATTTCCACTGCATGAACTCTCATGTTGAGCGGGAGGAAGAGGAGGTTGAGGGGAGGAGGAGAGGAAGGAAGGAGGAAGAAAGAGGAGTGAAGGAATGGGAAGTACCTTAACGATGAAGAGTATTTATAGGAGCTCCTGGTTGTTCCACTTCCTGTCTCAAGCCAGACACTTCCTGTTGTTGTGTGGCAATACACAAACCTGCCACATATGTGTGTTTTAGCTGATGGCTTTAGCATTTATAGGAAGTAGAAAGTGGTTGTAAGGGTCATTGTCTTTCTAACAATAAAAAAATGAATAAAAATGTTCACATTACAAACAAAATAGTGGCATTAATGCTTAACTTCTGTAACCATTACAAATTAGAGTTGATTTAGCATTCGCTTTGATTAAACATAAAAACTTAATCCTAGAGTTGCATGAATAAAGTATCGTTGATTTTAATGTCTTTTTCTTTTTTTTAAACAAAATGAAAACTTTCAATCAAGCATTTTAAAAAAGGGAGAAAATGCAAATTCTGGAGATAATAAAAATATAATCATAACACTAAGAATCCATCTGTAAAAATAGAAAATAAAATCTGTTGTAGCTTTAGTGTCATTTAGTTGTGCTAGACAGATTTTTTCTGTTTTTGCATGTTTTTTTTCTTCACAGTTAAAAGACAAATTACTATATTGGATAAAAATAACCTGAGTAAACACAAAACTATGTTTTCAAGTAATTATTTTATTTAAGACCAGTATCGCTGGAAAAAATGCAGCTTCCTCTTATTAACTCATAAATTACCTGTGATAAACCAGAAGCCAGAAATTAATTCAAAACTGTAAAAAACACTGCATACATTTAACATGTCTGTAAATATGTTCTACCAGTTTTAGCTTCATCTGGTTCAAATACTGTAAAATTTCTCCTATGAGAATCCAATTATTAATCGATTTATCCAAAAATAATCAACAGATCAGCCTTACTGATGTCAAGCCGATATTTTTACATGGTTAAATAATCAGGTGTACACTAAAGGAATGCTATATTATTTATTACATTTCAGGCAATACATTTTTTTATTTTATTGTTAAGAAATTTGAATTATTTGTTCATTTGCATATTTTAATGTATACTCTATAGAAAGGCTTACGTGATTAAATGAAAAATTGGCAGAATGTGCTACTTCTTATACGATTGTCAAAATAATCGATTGAATTACTAAAAGAAATAGAAAACATTGAGAGTTCAAAGGCGAACGCAACTGATATTCATTTTTAAAAAAAACACACCCTGATCAAACCCAAAGTTTTTGATAAAAAGTTTTGTGAACTTTGTGGAGGGTTAAAAAAAAGAAAACCGTAACTGTCAGGTGTTTTGATGGTGGAGGACTTTCTACATGAAAACTCTGGTAGAAAATCCTGAATGTCCGGCTACTTCTAAGCTCTAACACAATTGGATTATGCAGCAGGACAACTATCCAGAGCTCACGAGCCAATAACTGTGGAGTGGAGGAGGATGAGGAGCTGCAGATCGAATGCATCTTAATTTGGCTGCATGGAGCGAAGAACATACCTTTCCATATCAAGGCACATCAGTAATCATAGATGTTTGTGAAACGAGGTGCTACTTACTCGCTGCTGATTTGTAGCTTGGTGGGATTTAAAAAGTTTAAAATATCCACCTTGTTCTTTTGATCTTGTGATTTCAGAGCCTGTAAGTTTGAAGCCGATGAAAGTCGGTGTTGTCTTTAAATTACTTGGATGAAAGAAAATAAACTGTTTGCAGAGAGATGATACACGTTTAACTGTAATTGTAGCAGGTATTTTAGAAGAACATAGAAGAGTTTTTTATTTGTGTCCGCTTGTCTTTCAAAGCCATAATTGGCCGTGTTTATAGTTTTGTTTTTAAAATGAAGAAATGACTAACAAAAAGTGCTTAATTTGCTCTATATGGTCACAGATGCAAAGCTCAATAAGGGATAAAGTTTGGATGTTCTCCTTGTACGCGGCATTGGTTCTGTCCAGGTATTTTCTCACCTGCATCGGCTTTCGGTGTGATTGTATGCATGCATAATTATCTGTCATCATCCTGTGACGAACTGGAAACCAGATCAGGCTGTTAGCCGCATCTATGGGCTTCATGAACGTTCTCAGCGCTGTGGGTATTGGAAGAACGAGCCAACATGAGTCAGTTTTCTTAAGAATATCCAGTAGAACTGAAATGATTTATTGTGACGAATCAATTATTGAAATAATTGTCAACTAATGTAGTGATTGATTAATCGTTAATTGGAAAAGATTCAAAAGATGTCCATTTGCTGAAAACAAGCATATCAAGAGCAGTAATTAGGCCAAATCTGTATAAAATATATACACATTTTACATTTATGATAAAAAACTCATTTTTTTCCATAAATATGTTTTAGCTAAAACTTCAAATATAATTTTAGCTTCACCTGCTTCAAATTCACAATTTCATTGCATTTTAAGCAATTAAAAGCTTTTCTGATTTAAAAAAGGAATTTAATAGTTTTGTTTGTTTGTTTTTTGCATATTTTAATGAATTTCTAATATTGTATAAGAGTGGTTAAGTGGTTAAATTAAAAATCTGTAGAATGTGGCATTTTTTTATCCAATTAGTTGATTAACTGTCAACATAATCAATAGAATAATCAATTAGAGTCGCTACTAAGCAGTCTTCAGTCTTTGCAATGTGTCCATTATTGAACACTTTTTGTTGTTTTGAGGTTTGCAATCTTGCAAAGGACCAGAAAAAATAAAAAAAATGAACCAGTGAAGTTGAAACTGGACACATTTATTGCTCCAGGACAGTATTATGTAGTAACTACATGCAACAGCTTCTCAAACTTTTGCTTTAATTTTTAAAGCAAAAGTTGCTGGAAATTTAAGTCGCAGCACAGCAGATCCGACCTTTGACCTCGGGTATACCCATCCCCTCTCTCCCTGTTTGGTCAGGTGATTGTGTTTGACTGACAGATGTGGGTCTTCAGGGCAGCATGAGGGTGAGACTTCTCACATGTGGCTGTGAGCTGAGCTCACTCTGCTTATTTACTCAGCAGGAGGAATGAAATATTTGGAAAGTGGGTGGAAATCTTCCTTCAGTGGCCACTCCACACCTGGAAAAGTTTGGACCTGTTGTCCTCAAACCAATGTCAAAGCAATCTAAAAAGGAATCCCGGATTCCTGACATGGCTCTGTGCAGCCTGGAGGGCTTCCTGATTGCGGCGCTCCTTCTAAATTATGTTTATGGTCTATTGTTCTCGGGTTGGTTGGCATGCGGGATTGACCGGAACATGAAACGCATTCAGGAGCTCATGAGGAAGCTGCTAATGTAAAATCCAGCAGCTGGGGGTTAATGTCACAGGGTGCAGAGTCACCTTGTGCTTCCTAGAGAAACCAGAAGATGTGTTGCATCTGGAAAACTGGAATGCTTGTGCTAATAATGGAAACAAATGTATGGAGGATTTACGTGCCGTTTCCTGTGTTTGATTTGACATTCGTGCTTTGATCTACTAATTACTGCAGTTTTTCCTCTGAACAAATCCAGGGCTGTAGCTACGTTTCTCACAAATGTGCACAAAGCTTTAATATTTCACTAATACTGAAAGCATAAATGACACATGCAATTAAAACCTGAATAAGTTTGTTCATGTGATAAGACACAGGTCAATTCTTGCTGGTCAAGAAGACTAAAAATAATACAAAAAAAATGATAAAAGATAAATTAGAAATATTATATTGATTAAAAAAAATCTTTTTCATACTTCAAATTTCTCTGAAAGTGAAGTGTTATCTAAAATGCAATGTTTAGTAATGCCTCACATTAAGTTTGCTTTTTACATTTTAAAAGTTAATGTCTATTTTTGCACTTAAAAATAGTTTTAAAAAAATCATACTTCAAACTTTAGACTGAAAATGACGTTCGAAACCTAATAAAACATTTTCTTATTTAAAAAAGGAACTTAATTGTTTATTGGCATTTTCACTTCATGGATTTTGTTGCTAGCTGAAGTAGCTGCTAGAGAATGGGGAAATTATTATTTAATCAATAGATTACTCTGTAATTGTTTACAAATATTTTAGTAATTTTAATGTTGTAAATAACAGTACAAAATGTTGGCAAATAGCATTTTATTTTGCAATTAGGTAAATTCTGTCTTACTAATTTTGTAAGTTCTTCAGATACATTAAAAAAGTGAAATAAATAGCATTTTTGCTCAATTTATTAGCATCTATGCTAATAAATAGCATATTAGCATCGCATAGTTTTTGTTCACCTGTTCCTGTTTGTGTGTTTACAGGCTAAGGGGCGGAGGGATGGTCACTCCTCAACAGGTGACAACCCTCGGCCGCCGATGGCGTCCCGGCCGGGAAGGGAGGGGGTCGGCGTGGGCTGGAAGGGTCCCCGGACGCTGGTCCTCCATAAGAACTCCCAGGGTTTTGGTTTCACGTTACGCCACTTCATCGTTTACCCTCCAGAGTCTGCTCTGCACACCAACCTCAGGGTGAGACCTGTTGGTGTCATTATTTAATACCGAAGCATTTGAGATTTAAAGCAGATCCACTTGTAGTCGAATAAAACAAACGCTGGAAGAACTAATTAGGCAAATTCCAGCAGCTGAAGGGCTTTGAATGGGAATATGATTAAATTAAGCTACTCAGATTTTCATCCTTCTTGCAATATGGAAGATCCCTCCAGATTTTACTCCTGTTTATTTCTGTTTTTTTTTTTTTTCATTCTCTGTGAAGCTTTTCCTGTTTCTTTTTTTCTGGGCTGGGGGTGAGCCTTTGTGTGAGCAAAGTGGTTATTTGGCTCTTTGAGGTGCGGGCACAAACGTCTCCAGATGTGAAATTGAGGGATGTGGAGGCTGGGGTGGGGTGAGCCAGCTGAAACAAGACGTCTATTATTTTTCCTCCACCCCACCAGCCACCAGCTGCAGAAAACAGGAGCCCAGACTCAATGGGTTCTGTTGTTGCAGCCTGGTACCACTCACTGTCTGTCAGGACGTACCAGGTTGGCCCGAGACAATGGGCCCACTGCTGGCCTTTGACCCTGGTTCTGTCCTCCTGTCCCCTGCTTCAATGGACACCAAGGTCACATAGTGTTTTGGGGCAATCAGACTCACAGAGACGCCTTATTCTTATGGAGAAATTGTTTGGCCATATCCCAAATTACCCACATAAAATCCAGTTAGGCTCAGGATAAGTGTTACTCAGTTGGGCTCTAATGTCTTTCTAATACTATAAGTTGTCAAGGGTCAAGATGCATTGGAAATGGGAAACTCGTGGTATTTTAAACTACAGTTTTTGATCTACATCATTTCTAAATAAAGACACAAAAAAGAATACAGCTTTAGAGCATAGTTACACTCTTCACATCAAAAACAATCTCCTGAATGAAGCAGTCTGAATACCTTCATGCTAATATCTTAAACATTTAATCAGTAAAAACAAAATTGTTCTTATAAATGAAAGATTTTCTTCCACAATGAGATAAAAGACCATTGTTTATGAGTTTATTTTATTGCAAATGAAGAACATGCCTTAAAGATATAAAAGCTCAGGTTTTTGTTGTTTACATTTTGACAAAACTAGCATCTCGTTTGCACTTAAAGCACAAACATATTTAATTCAGCATTAATTCAAAATGCTTAAAATATATTTTTTAGATCAGAATATATCCCTTCAACCAGCGACTTAGATAAACTACTCTGCACATTTCTTACATCCAGGCTGAAGAAGTTTTGTTCATCCAACAAATCGGGTTGCAAATCCAGACTTCCCTCTTCACCTGTCAAGAACTTACACATAAAAAAAATCCAGAGAACAATGTCCCTTTGTCTTTTAATGACGAGCCTTTGTGTAAAACCTGCAATAAATTATTTAATAGGAACAGATCCATTATTTGCAGGCTACAGGTATGTAAAATTTTCAGCCCAGCAGCAGCTCTTTAAGAGCACCACATGCACTCTAAGACACCTCCTGCTGTTTCCAGTTTGGTTTCGGATGAGGTCAAATTGGGACTGGTCCATCCGTGCGTGTCCCCGGCTCCCAGTTCTATTCTGGGTTCGGCTGCTGTCCTTTCTCTGTCTCTAAACCCCACTGCATTGTCTCCCGAGCCTGGAATGAGCCCACTCAGCGCAGCATAATGCCAGGCAGCAGTCAGCCCACCGTGTTTCCAACTCCAAACTGCCCACTCAGCTCAGTAAAGTGTGTGTGTGTGTGTGTGTGTGATCTGATCTACCTATCTTATCTCCACTCTGTGTGTGTGTGTGTTTGCTGCAGTGCATGATGTCACGTTTACCTCCAGTCTGTCAAACCTGAAAGTCGATTTCTGCATATGATCGGGCTTCAAAAGCTCATTAAAAACAAACACGTTCTTCCCAGGAGGTTTGATTTCAGCTGTCAGGAAACTCATGTTTAATTAATACCAGCTATGACGACATGACGTTCTCTTCCAGTGTTACAAATGTAGAACATGTCAGGAAATGTTTCAGCTGCATAGGGGTGAGTAGTTTTCCTGCGTGATGTAAGCCTTGGATCACCACTTGGTAAAATTCCTGCTCATGACGACTGCAACAGCAGCAGCGCTACACAGGATCCTGCTAATGTTCGCCAACATTTCTCATGTTGTGCTGCCAGTTTTCTTTCTTGACATTTGTTTTCTGTCTCCTCCTGTCGTCTGTAGGATGAGGAGAACGGCAACGGGAAGGGTGAGTTGTTTCCCCGTCATTCGGACATCAGTTAAACGCAGCACAGTCAAACAGAGATGATGCAATGAGGCGGGACTCCTTCAGTCTCCTCACAGACCTCTGGTTTTCTGGTTTCTCTGCGCCACCTGCAGGATTGTATGCAACACTGCACTTGCACTTGTTGACCATAGACTGCAGATATATTCAGATTTTTTTTTAATTGCAAAAACTACTGTTTTTTGTAATCATAAATTTATAAATTTATTTACATAATTTACAATTATTTTTCATCAAAAATGCTAAGTGTATTTATTTGTTTAAAAATGCACCAGCATTATTGTGTGTTTTGTTATTTTTTAAATATATATATTGCCTGTTTTGTGTTTAAATATATATGGTTGTTTAATGCTCAGTTGTAACAAATTTACTTTTACGTTTGACTCTAATATTTTTTTCCAACTACTCCTGTTCATTTGAAACTTTTGTTCATATCAACATGTGACATGTTTATTTAAAACTGTAAATAAATGAAATAATAAATTAATTAATCACTTTTATTAATATTATTTAGATAGATATATATTCTGAAAATATGTCCATTTATTTTAGAAATAAAGTGGTTTTGCCTTATCATGCCTCTTCATGTCAGGATTTAAAATTAAAACTGTCAGTTCTTTGGGCTTCCAACTGAATTATTAATATTTATATAGCACACCCCAGCTTTTAAGTCGCTTTGTGAAAAACAAACAAGGAAATGTACTTCACCAACTTAAATGAAAACAGTTCAGTCTGTAATAACATGCAGCAGGTCAGCTGACTTGTGCTGGATTTATCTTGTGTGTTATATTTGCATAGATGGATGGGAACAGATACTTCATCAGAACACGGAAACTTTCCAAAGGGATTTTTTTTCTAGCTGTAAGCTCCCCACATGTCATTTCCAACAGGTTCCCTAAATGAATGAAATCCTCAGGAAAACGTGTCACCGTTTACTGTTTAACAAGTGCAGCCCCTAATCTTGAGTTTTATTCGCGATGCAGGGTTTCAGAAAGAGCGACTGGAGCCGATGGACACCATATTTGTGAAGAATGTGAGAGAAAAGGGTCCGGCCCACAAGGCGGGTTTGTGCACAGGTAAAAGGGACCAGCCTCCACATTTAGCCTTGAAATGTGTTGACGTGTGCAGTTTACCGTAATGTTGCATCCGAACTGTGAAGAAGTTAGACGAAAGCTTGACGAAAACAAGATTTATTTTAACTGATGCAATGAAAATGACAGAGCTGTTAAAGTTTTTTCTTGCTGCCTCAGCAGAGTAGCAGTCCCATCTGTGCACGTTTCCAGTCACATGCTACTTACTCAAACTTATGCAAACACACACACACACACACAATAAAAACACTGTATGCATTTCAATTTGCACAAACTCCTCTTCAATTTTTCCCCAGTTGCTGACCTGATTTCCAGCTTCTGCTGATGAAACTGCAGATTAATTTATTTTTATTGATTTGCTTTTTTAGTGGCATTTAAAAAGAGGAACATGTTAACATTGTATATGTATTTACACCTCTCTGTCCTCTGAGTCTAAGTAAAGATCATCAGCTGAATGTTTTGCCTGCATGAATCTGTTTCTGTTGAAGTTAAACACAGAAATACAACATTTTTTCTTTCACCTTCACATTTCCTGTTTTGATCCGTGCCTCGACCTCACAGGGAAATTAGTTCCTGCACAGCGTTGCCTGTTTTTCCTGTCTTTCCCACCTGCTCTGAAGTTTTACGGACTAGGACCTTGCTGCCTAACCTGCTGGTTGTGACACGACGGCATGTTTTCTTTTTCTGCAGGGGATCGTTTGGTGAAGGTAAACGGAGAGAGCGTTCTTGGAAAGACTTACTCGCAGGTGATCGCTCTCATCCAGAACAGGTAAGATCACCTGAGATCACAAAAATGTCTCACTTCTCGTCACTTATGCATTTTGGATGCATAAATACGATGCTGTAAAAAGATGATGTAAAAATGTGATGCATTGCTAATCTAAGAAATTGTTTTGTTAGAGACGATGTGTTGTTTAACTTAAGAACAAATTATAAAATTGGACCCTCATTCAGCAGTTTATTTTTCACACTAAAATCTACCCAAAGCAACTTGAGGAAGGCAGCTTAGTCACACAATTAGCAAAATTTTAACTTGTGTATCCCAGTGAAATAAAGTGAAGATCTTGTATCTTAACTATATAAAGTATATTTCGTTGATTTTCCCCGTTTTTGTCGTTCACAGCGAGAGTGTGTTGGAGCTCTCCATTATGCCAAAAGATGAAGATGTGCTTCAGCTGGTAAGTATGATTTTTGCACCACCACTCCCGGTGAAAATTTGTGAAAGTCTTTTTTGCTGTACCATACTCCAAGTTACTTTAAATGGATTTTTAGTTTGGGAAGAGATCCAGTGTTTAAAGTGATTGCCTTCATTGTGATTGGCATCCTGAGCAGTTCTTACATAATGGATACAACTAATCAAGGGGAAATTCTAATTATTTCCCGTTTCCCATGCATGCAGGGTTTGCTGAACACAACTGGGATTTCTCTGTTCATATGAGACTAACGGTGCATTTTCACCAGTCCTGTTTAGTTCAGTTTAATCCAACTCAAGTTTGTTTAAATATTAAGTTTGTTTGGGGAGGTGTGAACCAAAAAACTCTTGGTTGAGTTGAAGTGAACTCCGGTGTGGTTTGGAAGCGTATTTGAATGCCAAATGGACCTGAGATCGCTTTGAAAGCACAAAGTGGTGTATAGTGCATTGCATTCTGGGTAAATACAACCAAAACAAACATGAGTGTTGAGGGTTTAATGAATCTTACAACCATTAAAATCTGACAGTGCCGTATTTTTGTTTATGTTTTGCAAAGAAAGAGGTTGCGCTCGTGTCGTCTTTGTGTCGTTTCCTTCGATGGTTCTCAGTGCAGCTCCACCACAGGCGAGGAGGTGAACAGGTCTTTCAATTAGTTTGAATCGTTTGACACAGTGTAGTGTGAAAATGTAACAAATGTTGCAATTTTGCTCGCCAATCGAACCAAGTCTACTGGACTATCAGGAGTGGTGACACCCGAAGACTGTGAAGTGAAAGCAGCTCATGCTGACTGTAAAGTACGGTGGACGATCTGTGATGCTGTGCTGCTGATATTTGGTTTCTCTACCAAATATCTACCTTGTTATGGGACATCAACTTGTTGAAATACCGGGACATTTTATGGCTGAGTGGCGCTTATATTGTTCAGAGTAATAATGGCAGTAGGAGTACTGTCCTAATGTCTTTATACACATTTTCTTCTTCCTTTATAGATGAAATAATTTGAAGGCCTTTTACGCTTCTTTGAATGCTGTAAGATTTTCTAACCACAAAGCCAGAAAGAAGCTTAATACACTTCCATGCTTCCTATTTTAGGTCAGTGTTGTAACGTTGTTTGGGTGCTTATCTTCAAAGTCGGTTCATCGGCTCACTGCTGAAGAATGCGGCAAGTGACTCACAAGGCTCTGCTCTGTTTTCCAATTACATCGTCCATTAAAGTCTGCCTGTATATCAACTGTCGAGGTCTAGAACAAAACCGCTCCTTGCGCTCATTTACACACACCCAAGAAATGCAGCAACACATTTTTGTCGCTCCACAGGTTGTTCCGTTCTCGTTTGCATGATCCGACATGCATCGGCTGTTGCCCCTCCCACCGACCTGCAGCAACGTTTCGACACACCGAGCCACATTTGAGCAACGTCTCTTAGAAACACTTCGTATGCTTCCCCAGAGAATAGCGCCAACAGTGAGATCTTGACTTTAAAAAAGCATTTAGCCTCTCTTTTACATTTTAAACCCACTCCTCTGACCTCACATTCCTCCTCTCGCTGGTGTATCTCCTGCATTCCTGTCATGACATCACTGGAGCTGCGCCTCCTTCCGCACTCCCACAGGGTGGAGTAAGTCCGAGAATCAGAGCGGTGAGGAGGGGGAATCTAGACGGATTTCTGTGAGGAGAAAACAAGCCGATCATCAGACAGGAAGCCGTCAAGGAAAAGAAGCAAAAAGGATTTTATTAATAAGGATTTGGTGAAATATGACGGACACCTTTTTAAGCAGCAGGAGTGTCTTGTAAGGAGTGTCGGTGTGTTGTTTTTTTTTCCCACCGTCTGCGGTTTGGGTTTTGACTTTCTGTTAAACTATCTTATCATTTTTAGGATGATGTTGAAGAGCACAATGTGATCAAGTTTTTGGGGAGTAGAAAACATTTCTGCGTAAATTACTAAAGAGTTGCCTTTTAAGCTTGAAGCTCAGAGAAAATGCTGTATGTACGAGTCAGTGCAGCAAACTGCTGTGTGGTGTGTTTTCTTCCTTTTCCTCTGGGGATTGGGTGCATTTCTTTAGTGGATATGTGTTTGTCTTGAGAGATGATAAAACTTCTAAACAAAATAAAGAGTATGTTGAAGCAGTCTACTGTCTTCAAGCATAAAGTGTCTGAAATTTGAAATTTGGAGCAGTTTTTTTGCCTGATGACTCAGAGCTTATGGTTTTAGTCATCAAGCCGAAACACTTATTCATCCACTCATGCTTTTTTTCTCCTCCAGGCATACTCACAAGATGCTTACTTGACCGGGAATGAACCCTTTGCCGGGGGAGCCGAGAACCTCCCGCCACCGCCTCCCCTCTGTTACCCACGCACCAGGACTGCCCCCCATCCTGGAGCCCCGCTTTGCTCCCCCATGGGCCAGAACCAGCTGGATAACTGGAGTTGCTGGGCAGGGTCTTCAAGCCCTTCGTCACCCTTAGATAACAGATCCGGCGTGGCCAGCCCAGCCAGCTGGCAGGAGGGCCGGGCAGGTGAGCCAGGTGGAGTGGGTCACAGCAGTCCAGCGCACCGCACAGAGGAGATCCAGTACGGTATGACCAGCCAGCAACCTCAGGGTCAGACCAGGAGGCGCTCCTACTCTTCGTCCTCCTCATCTGGAGGTCTTCTATCCAGCCCCCTGCAAGTCCACTACCCCAACCACCAGAGTGCCGGGTCCCAAGCACAGCCTCGCAAGTCCAGCACAGCCTGGACCAGTCCGCCAATGGCTCCAGTCCGCACCAGCCGCAGCGATCGCTGCCAGCAGGCTCTCTCCGACTGGTACTACAGCCAGCAACCCGAGCGCTCGGGACGCAGCATGCAAACCCGCCACCGCAGCTACTCTCAAGACCGGCTCAGCGAGCACAGAAGGCAGCAGCAGAGGGCAGGTGGCTGGCCACACAGCGCCTCGCAGGATACCCTCTTCCTACTGCAGCAGTCAGGGCAAGGACCTCAGGGTGAGCCCTATTGGTCCGCCGGAGACTGGGAGGCAGGACACGACAGGGGCCGCTCTGACTACACCCGGACACGCTCTGAAAACCTGCTGGCCCAGTACGATCGCCATGGTCGCTCGTTGGAGATGTTGGACCGAGCATCAGCTGGACTGGTTCCGTCTCGGTCTGAGAGGCAGCCGTGGCCCCAACAGTCTTCACAGCCACCCCACAGGACTGACGCCTACCCAAGACCAAGGTGCCACACCGTCGTGGCGCAAGCTCCTTCAGTGCCTCGACCGTCGCAGTCTAAACACCACCCCCAAAGCCACAACCAGACCCACTCCCAGCCTCAGCAGCCCGTTCTCCAGAGCAGGCGGCTTCCTACGGGGCAGAGCATGGACGAGCAGCAGGTGGGATATCGCAGCTACAGCCCGTCTTTTTACCGCAAGACAGGCCGCATCCTGCAGCAAGCTCAGTCTTTCAGGGACCCGTCGTACTCTGGCCCCCATTTGAACTGGAACCCAGCCCCCAAAAGCGGTCCCCCAGAGGGATCGTCAGCACCTCTCATTGCCTCTGCCTCTACACCCCTCGTTTCGGTCTCTCCAGAATCCCAGGACAGGGCATACAGGCCGACAAACCACGAGAGGGAACGAGGGGCAGTGGAGGGGCAGGCGGAGATAGCGGAGCAAACACCGGAAGTGGTGTTGAGGCAGAAACCCCCTACTGGGCGGAGAAACGCCAACAGACACCCTCACTACGGCATGACTATGGACGAACTAGAACCCTCATTGTTTTCTCCAGATCCCAAAGACACAAATGTTCACTCTGGCTCTACTGAAGATGTGGCCCCTCGCAAAGCAAATGGCAACCTTGCTCCCCTTTCTTTAGATGACGACTCCCTGGCCTCCATCCCATTCATAGGTGAGTTCATCTCTGCTCTTTTTTCTTTTTAGACACATAACCCAGTGTTTGCTCAGAAGCTGCCATGCTGTATGTGTTTGTAAGTTTGTGTTTGGTTACGGATGCCAATAATTAATCAAACTTTCGATCAGTGGTTTAATAGATTAAAATTAGTTCCATCCGATTAACGAAAAACGTCCGCTTATACCTTCTTTTAGTGTTATAGTTTGGCCTCCATCCAGCAGAGGGCGCTGCTGGTGATCCTTAAGATCCTTAAGTTTGACAGTATCAGGTGTTACAAAATGTTTTAATTCAGCATATTATGAAAAATTGATATAGGTGGAAAATGGCTACTTATGAATTAATCATTACTTGATTGATGAGATCAATTGACTTTAGATTAACTCATTAATTGATAGCTTGCATCCTTCGTTTTTGTATCTTTTAAATTCCTGCTGTTTTCCAAATTGGATCGACCTGGATTTCCTTGATCTTGTTTGGTTGTGGCTGGACGCACGCTGCAGGTTAGGCTGCTGTCATGCCCAAGCTTGTGTTTTCTTTGGTAAAGAGTGAGAGTAAAGCTGCCCTGCAGGCTTCGAGTTGGTGTCTATCGCTTGGCACGAACAGCAGCCATTAACTCTTAACGCAAATTAATTTGCGGTAGCAGAAACGAGGCTTGCCTCTGTCGCTTCCATCAGGGCATGAGTCAAACAGGTGCAGAACAGATTCAGATCGACTGACTACGTGTTGTGATGGTAGATATTTGTGCCAGGCTGCGCTCTGCCTTAGAGAGTCAGTATCTTGAGGGAATCCATTGAACATGTGACTGCATTCTTGCCTCGGAGCTTCACCTGATTTAAATGAAACCGAGCAGCAAGAGCTGCAAGCCGGGACTCGTTTAATAGCCATAAACTGAAACTAGGCTAGTTTCTCCCCAAAGACGAGACATTTTCTCTTCTCTCCTTCTGCCTTCATCTCCTGATCTGGACGCTGATATGATCTGGGACTGTTTGGGATCTTGCTTCTTTTTCATACACTGCCGGGTTTCTTGTTGTTTTAAAGATAGTGAGCACAAAGACAGGGCTGTGCCTGAGGGAAAATATGCTTTCGTGACATTTTTTTTTTTTTATCAAGATTCTGAAACTTAGATTAAATATTTTAGACATGTTTTGTGACAAATTGAATCTTCACTGTGTGGTGTTTGTTACTCTTCTTGGGGAGGCACTTCCACTTATATCCTGCTTTCAATGCTGCCTTTGTGCTGCTCTGGTATATGAAGGGTCGGCCCTATGGGGCGCCTTCCATATGACCGTAGACTGGACTCCTTACAGCCGCCTCCACAACCATAAAACCTTTCAAAATGACTCCATTTTGTCTTCCAGCAGCTTAATCTCCCCAAAGAAACATTAATTTGATTACTTTCAATGACTGAGAAAAATACTTGTCATGAAACTATTGGTGCCCACATTAAACCCTCAAAATAAGACAATTTTAATTTATGCTGGGGATTTTTCGTGAGTAATCTGTCAATTTAATTTCCTTGGGGAATAAATATGGTGTTACACAAAGACCTGGTTACTGTTTACTAGGCTGGATAAGGATTCCAGCTGTTTCCTTCTTTTAAGGGAACAATAGCTGCTTGTTAAAGAAACCCAACAAAAAGTCTCCAACAACCAGTAGATGATATCTAAGTGCTAACTATTTTTATAAGCCTTTTATGAGGAGTTTGTTCATCTTTATTAGGACTATTAGGAACCATGTGCTTTTTTGTCAAATGAGACTAAGATTGAACTTTACAAACTCTTAAACAATGTTAGATGTTAGAAAGCACCTCAAAGCTACTATTCAGTACGGTGGAGGACTTGTGATGCTGTGGGCTTGATGGAGTTAGTCTAAATACGAGGACATGAAAACGGGTCATTATGGGTTCTTTTAGGAGGTTACTGATCAAAAATATGCTGGCAAATCAATGCAAAACCTTTTTTAATCAAATAATAAAAGATTATCTGGTTTGGGTGCCAGTAATTTTGTAATAACAATTAATTTAATCGTGGATTATTTTTCTCCTCCTACTTAATGTGCTCAGATTAAATTGAGTTTTTTCCTAAAATGTTTAGTTGTGATTATGTCGCTGTGATATATAACTTAGTTTTAAGAATTTTCACTCATCCTTACCTGAAGTCATTCAGTTTGGTGGGAAACTGTATCTTAGACTTTTTTGGGGGTATTGTTAATTTTTGGGATTTTCAAGCAAAATATTCCAGTTTTTTCCTAAACCTTTTCCAGATTTTTGTTTTAAAAACCTCAATAAGAAGGATCTCACTCTCTTGTCTCTTGTGGATTCCGTATATTACGGTAAAAGTTGTGATTGCACACATATAACCTATTAAATCGCATTGCATCTCATAGCGTTTCCTTTCCCTTCACCCCTGATCGCCTGTTGTTGCCCCCCACACATGTTGTGGGATGTAGTGTGGAGATAAAACATGCTGTGGGACAGGATTTTGCTTCCCTCTGCCGGCCTGCCGCTGTCTCTCTGTGGTCGGCTTTCTAATGACCGGCTTTGTTAAACCCACAGACTGACTATTTCTGGATTTGGTAGATTCCTCGTCCCAGACTGGGAATGTTTTCCGTCTCATTCTGCACTCTCAATCTGCTCAGGAAGGAATGTGCTATAGACAAAGGAAAGTAATTAGAATTACTGCTACGACTATTTTATTTCAAGTTGTGAAATTAAATAGTTGGAGTGATACTAAAGGAATCCATGTGAGATGTCTGCATAGTGTGCTTGTAGTGGTGCTGCCCTCTGCTGTCTCCGCTCTGCACAGCTTTAAAACGCTGCTGATCTTATGCAAATGTCAAGCTAGGATCCGTCCTTTCTACCTCTGAGGAAGTGGAAACGCATGTGTGTGTGCATGTGTGTGTGAAGGTTTCATATCCCTCTAAGCGAGCGGAGACTCTGAAATATTTGAACCTATTCGACATGATTTATACCTTATTTTGCTGAGGAAAGAATCTTCCTTCATATGGTGACAGAGAAAAGAAAATATTTATATATATCCGCCCTCAAAAACTGCATTTCTTCCTTGACTTTTAACCTCGTTTGCCTGTATGGTGTAATATCCCACAATGCCGTAGACTTTTATAAAGAACTGAAACCTGCAGCCATTAGGTCCTTTCACCTACCTGCCTCTGCTAGCTCCTGAGTAGCTTTCCCTATGGCAGCAGACGACACAGGTACTGTTTTATCTCTTAGATATTTGCATATTTCACTCCATCTGTGTGGGAGTTTTCCCTCTGTGTTCAGGTTAAAGGTATGTTTAGGCACTCTGGAGAGGCTGAGGCAGGTTTTACTTTGTGAAAGTCTTTCTATAGCTTGGGAAACGGCTTCAGTTACTGGTTTCATGATATGGCTGAAAAACACATTACGTCCATATCGGTAATTATTCATTAGTCTTTTGTTTTAAATATCTGAAGTATATTCACTACAGTTTCCTCTGGAGGTGTTCTTGTTTTCTCCTTTCACTCCTCGCTGTTTTTGCTTGTTTTTAAGCAGTTATGAGGCACAGTGGCAAAAATCTTAAACTGCTGCTGCACAAGTTACTCAGCAAGTTGTTGCTTGGCAACCAAAGCAAGTGAGTGAGTTGCTAGGTAACCAAAGAGCGAGTGAGTGAGTGAGTTAGTTAGATTCCACCAGCCTTGCTTAGCTAACCGTGAGAGGTTGAGCGGCAAAAAAAGGTCTTTCCTCTGCCTACATCCCCCAGAATGCCGTGCGGTTCTGGATTGGAGTTCAGTGAAATGATTGGATGTTTTATCAGACGTATTTTCTGCTGTTGTTGATTTATTGCCCAGTCCTAGTCTGATGTAAAGATGTCCAAAACGGTTTTGCCTTCACACTTATTGCTGTGGAAATTGAGACTGTAAAATTATTTTCTTGTTCAGTGTCTTGACTTACTGGGCTTCTCGTGGTCCTCTTAAAACCTATCCTCACCTTTCCCAATCTAACCCCTGCATTTCTGTTTTTTTCCTCTTTGACTCTTTTCTCTAACACCTAATCCTGTCCCTTTATCCTTGTCCAACCTCTCTTTCAAACCTCCATCTTTGCCTCCCTCCTTTCCCTCCCTGCCTCCCACAGACGAGCCAACCAGCCCGGGCGCTGATTTGCGTGCCCGCCACGTGCCGGCCTCCTCTGTCGTGTCCAGCGGCATGAGTTCAGCGCCCCCCGTGGGCACCAGCCCCGCCTCCCCCACCTTCACCTTCCCCTTCAATAGGCTCTTCTCACACGACTGCAGTGAGTGGGACTCCTCCTCGTCCCCCTTGTCGCTCTAGTCTTCGCCAAAGCATGAAGCAGGAAATTAGATTTTTAGTCGTGGCTTCTGATTCCAGCGATGGATTTCCAAAGCATGTGTGAGATTTTACGTTCAGATATAGGGTTTTGTTTTTAGTCTGCTATTGCTTTCTACGCTGCTTTAATTTCTCTTTTCAAGTTTTTTTGAGGATTATTTACTTTATTATTTAAGAAAAAGTAAGAATACTTGGCAGTTAATTACCTCATAATTAATATTGTAATACCTCATAATTTATCATGATAAATTTCTTCTCACGATAATAATTTTGATTTATTGTTGTGACGATAAATTCCAATTAATGATATTTAAACCCCTCAAAAATGTCCGCATTGGTAGTTTTACTATTTTCTCCACTGTTTATTCGATGAAAGTGTCAGTAAATACCAATAAATTTGTAGAACAACAAAATATTACGATAAACCTTTTCCATATAACCCACCTCTACGTAACTAATTAGCTGTCCATAAAGTGATGATTATTTACTTTATAATATAAGAAAAAGTAAGAATATTTGGCAGTTAGGGCAATTAATTACCTCATAATTAGCAGTGGGCTTTAATTGTATCGTTTATCGTGATAAATTTCTTGTCATGATAAGAATTTCTATTTATCGTTATCACGATAAATTCCGATTAACGATGTTTAAAACCTCCAAAAAATATTCTTATTGTCAGGATTGTTAGTTGTACTATTTTCTCCACTGTTTGTTTCAAGAGATTATCAATAAATAATGAATTAATAGCTAAATTCACAGGTTAAAAGTTTTATTAGAAATAGTTTTGAATCTCATGTTCAGAGCTTAAGAAAAGATAAAAAGCCTTTGACAAGATGAAGTTTTTAGCAGTGCTAGAAAATCTTTGCATGTGTAATTTGTGTTTTGACGGTAGTATTCCAGCTCTGCATGCTGCCAGACAAACCTACATGTCCGATCTAGATCAACCCAGGTTGCATGGTGCTGTTCTTTAGCTGAATTTCACAAATGTATGCCGGTTTGTGTTGACAGTGCATGCCAGTGGTGCAGAAGAAGTCCAGTGAAAGCCTTAAATCTAACCCACTGTTCTAGTTCACGTCCCCAGCCGATCTCCTCCACGTAACTCCCCGTTTTCAAACCCTCAACCTCCCACATCACCGTCCCCCGTCTCCTAATCCAGCGCCGTCTTTTTTTTTTCGGGTGATTGGCATTACATCAACATTCTGTCTCTCTTTCTCTCTGTCTTTTTATTTCTCCTTTCTTCATCTCCATCTCTCCACTGATTCACCCTTGCGCCGAGCAGGCAGTATTAAATCCAGTCGCCGTTCCTCCTATGTTCTAGCCATCACAACGGAGCGATCCAAGTCATGCGATGAAGGACTCAACACGTTCAGGGAGGAACGGGCCTCGTAAGTATAGGGAGGTGGGAAGAATAAGGACAACTTCATACAAATGATTTTATTATTATTTTTTTTATTTAACCTTGTCTTTGTTGTTTTTTTATTGGCTTTACAGAAGGCTTCCAAAAAGAGTGAAGAGTTTCTTTGGAGATGGGGTGAGTTCTCTATATTTACATTTATTATTTTGTAATTGCAAGAGATCGATGTGATTGGCATCTGCTCATTTTTATTTTTCCATTTGTGTTAAAATCACTCTTTAAAAAAAAAAGCAGATGCTATTAACTATTCTGATAATTCTTAAATCTATCCATTGTTCTTACAATTAATCAGACTTTTAAAAGATAATTTGTGTTTAAAAAACTGAAATTATTGACATTTTTCTCATTGTTTTGTTTGTTTGTTATCAATGTAACTGTCAGGATTTTTTTTTTACTTGTTTTTCTTCTTTTATTATGTCTTTATTATAGCAAAATACTTGCATTACTTTCATATTATTAATATCAACTTTCTATATTTTGATATTTTAAAAATCAAATAACCTGCTTAGGATTCCACTTATTCTTAAAAAAGAAAAAGAAAAATAGAGAAAATTTCCCAAATACAAAAAAAAAAATGAAACTGATAAAAACAAAATACATACAATAAAGAGCTTCAGGACAGAAGTTTCTGAGGATTACAAAAACCCATTTTATCAAGTTGCTAGATACGTTTCAACACACCATAAAATGAGAATAAAATCTTGATGTTCTGTCTGCGTTTCAGTCTCTGGACATCCTTGCGACAGCGGATGAGGTTCGCTCCAAGCGCCACTCCACCTCCGAACTGGGAAACATCAATTACAGCAACATACGGCGGGAAGGATGGCTGCAATTCAAGCAAATCCTCACCGAGAAGGGAAAGGTGGGCAGCAGAGTTGGGATTATTTTTGGGAAGGCCGTCGCAGGAATCACTCATGTCACATCCTCTCCGAATCGCAGAAAGTCGGCAGCGGGATTCGGCCGTGGAAGAGGGTGTACTCTGTCCTTCAGTCCCAGTCGCTGTTTCTCTACAAAGACAAGCGGGAGGCGGTGCTCCGCGGCGCCTCGATCGAAGGCGGGGCCGAGGACGAGCAGCCAATCAGCATCCGGGGCTGCCTGGTGGACATCGCGTACAGCGAGACCAAGCGCAAGCACGCCCTGCGGCTGACCACCCAGGACTTCTGCGAGTACCTGCTGCAGGCGGAGGACAGGGAGGACATGCTGGAGTGGATAAAGGTCATCAGAGAGAGCAACAAGATGGACAGCGAGGTCAGAGGGCATGCCGCTGTCAGATTTACATCTGCTCTGTGCTTTATTTGTTCTGACTTATGGGAAATATCGCCCGCTCATGTTTGTTTTCTGCAGGAGCTCGGATCCTCCAGACAGGCTCTCATCAATAAGAAGCTCAATGATTACAGAAAACAAAGGTGAGTCATCTGAGAACAGTTTCTGCTCTGGAGTTGAAGCTGAGAGACAGACAGTGTTGCCAAATTGGAGTACTTGTGAAAATGCTTGGCTGGAATAAACAGCTTTGGGTGTGTTGTTAAAATTTGCATTGCTTTTCAAAACATTTAGCAGATTTTTAGAAAGTTTCAGAGGAAAGATCTTTCTAAATAGTTGTCACTGCAGAAAAGCACAAAACTTTTAATAAAATGCCGTGCTGCTGCATTTATCTCATTAATTTATTTTGAAATCTCTAGTGTCTGACATAATCAGTGATTAGTCATTGGTTAGTCAAGTTTCACTATGAAGTAAAACAGAAACTGCAGTGAAAAATCATGATTTAAAAGGACATATCGCCACAAAAAACTCAAGTTTCATCATGTTCAAAGAGTCACATCCTTTTGGTTTTGTTCAGAATGTCATAAATGTGGTGACTATCACCAGATATACATCTTCATAAGTTTGTGTTTTGTGTCTCTGTCTCCCTTTTAAGTCCAACATCAAGTAAGCCAGATTCGTCTCCCCGGATGCACCGCATGATGCCTCCGTTCCTGCTCAATAAGACGGAAAACACAGCCGGAGCGCCGCGCTCCCCAAAACAGGACGGCAAAGGTCAGTCTGGCAGAAACAGGAAGTGGCCCTGCAGCTACATCCAATGGATTCGAGAAGATTTTATTCTTCAGTGCTGAATTTTCCTCAGCTTACTTCCTCATTTTCATTATAGCTACTGGCCAGTTTTCAGTCAATAAGTCTTTAATATTCATGAAACATTATTAGCTCCACTGGCAGATTATTTCATATATAACATGGGAAAAAGGTATTGTTTTGCTAGTTCTTTTTCAAATCAATTTTCAGGAATTATTTACTTAAAGCAAGTTCCTACTTCTTGTTAAAAGGTTGTTTGTAAGTTAGTTTTGTCTTATTTCAAGTGTACTAAGATATTTGCACAAGAAACTAGGCTAAAAAATTCTTGCAGTGCAACATCTCCGCCTTTTTTTTTTTTTTTTTTTTGAATTACACATTATATCTTCCAATAGCAAAGCTGGGTTCACGTTCCAAAAATAAAAGTAAACATTTTCATTGAAAATGCAGTGATTAAAGCCCTATGTTCAACACTATAACATGAAATTTCTGCTGCAAGAAAAACACTGAATGCATCAAATGCAAGCAAATTTAATTAGTAAATCTCCAGTAATATTATAATGTTAATTTGTTTCCATTCTATCTGTCTCTCTGCTAATCTGGCTCTGCTCCTAATAAACATTTTGGATTGTCTGTATGAGACCAAACACACGTTTATCACTTTACTCCAGGGGACGTTTCACACGAGTTTGCCAAGCAAAAATTAAATCAATTGAACCTAAAGTTGACTGAAATCGATGAAAAAAATTCAAAAAGTCAGAAAAACTATTGATCAAGACTTCTTTAAAAGATAGCAAGAAAGTCTGGCTTCTTAGATGAAAAATGTCAAGAAATTTGGTTTGTTTTAAAAACTTTGCACCATACTTTATGAGCTTCTAATCGGTTAATCTTAAAACAATGTGTCCAGACGAGAGCAGCCCTCCGAAGTCTCCCTGGGGAATCAACATCATGAAGAAGTCAAAGAAAGCCGGACCCAAAGCGTTTGGTGTGAGACTGGAGGAATGTCAGCCTGGCATCAACAACAAGGTGAGCCGCTCGTAACGCATTCTGTGTCTAAATGCAGTTTATTTTTCCCTTTTCGTACCTCAGACTGCATTCTGTTTGTTTTGCGCCTTCCCTCTCAGTTTGTCCCGATGATCATTGAGTTCTGCTGTGGTTTGGTGGAGGAGATGGGCCTGGAATACACCGGGATCTACCGGGTTCCCGGGAACAACGCCATAGTCTCGCTGCTTCAGGAACAGCTCAATAAGGGCGTGGACATCAACCCTGCAGAAGAGGTGAGGAAACAGATGCAGACAGAGGATTAAGCTTCAACATGGAGAAGCTGGAAAATTCATTGTATTTTCCAGGTCTGTAGAAATATGTAAAAAATATGGAGAAGATATTTTCAGACTTAATTATGTATCCTGTTGTCTAGACGTTGTGTCCTTCCTTCCCTCTTTCCCTTTCCTCCTTCTGTACTTCTATCCTTGTGCCTCACCTCTTTTCTTTCGTTCTTTAATCTGCCCGTCCTTTATTTCTTGTGTCCTACCTCCCTTCATCCTTGCATTTTATTTTCCTTATTAATTCATTTGTTGTATCCTTTCTGCCTTTCCTTCATTGTGTCCCTCATTTCCTCCTTCAGTTTCTTTGTTTTGTTCTTCCTTTGCTTATTCTGTCTCCTTCCTTTCTTTCTTTTTTCCCTTTTTATATATTTTTCTCCTTTCCTTGTTTCTTTTCTTTTTTATTCTTTCTTTCTTCCTATATATTGACCTTTTTTCTTTATTTTTTCTTTCTGTCCTTCTTTTGTCTTTGTGAATTCCTTCCTCCATTTCTTCATTGTGTCCTTCCTTCTTTCCTTTATCGAATTTTTTTTCTCTTTCCTTGTTTCTTTCCTTTTTCTTTCTTTCTGTGTTGTCTTTTCTTTCTAGTTTGCTTTTTTCATTCTTTCTTTCCCTCCTTATTTTGCATCCTTGTGATTTCCTTCCTCCATTTCTTCCTTATAACCTTCCTTGCTTCCTCCCCTGTAGCTTTACTTTTCCCCTTCTTTTCTTGTTTTTCCTTATTTCCCTTTGCTCTTCCTCCCTCCAGTTTCTGTTTTTTCCAGGTTCCATATTTAAAGTCTTCTAACTATAGAAATATCTGTGATAAATGTCAAGTAAACTTTAGTATTTTACATTTGGAAAAAAATGTGGAAAACCTGGAGTCTGTTCAGTTTTAAATTTATCCAAGTAAAATGTGCAGAAATCCTGAATGAACGAGAAACTTGAATCTCAGGGTCAGAAGATGAAATACTTTGATGTTTGTTGTGTGTTGTTGTCTTTAGAAGTGGCAGGACCTCAACGTTGTTAGTAGTTTACTCAAGTCCTTCTTCAGGAAGCTTCCAGAGCCTCTCTTTACCAACGGTGAGTCCACACATGTTCCAACAAGCCTGCATGGATGCCATTCTTGCAAATGTTATCAGATCATCCAACTCACTTGCTTTAATCTGTCCAACGTCTAAACAGACAAGTACAACGACTTCATTGATGCCAATCGGATGGAAAACCCATCGGAGCGACTGAAGACCATGAAGAAACTGGTTCGTCTTCGCTTTTAATCTCCCAGGAATTTCAGGGAAGTTTACCGACCTGGCTGGTTCAACGGGTTCCCGTGTTTGTTGTTTTGTTGCAGATCCGAGATCTTCCAGATCATTATTATCACACTCTGAAATTCCTGATTAGCCACTTGAAGACGGTTGCAGACCACTCCGACAAAAACAAGGTGTGTCGAAAGCCGTTTTGAAATCATCACACGCGCCATTTCAGAGGCCTTTGTGCTCAAATGTTGTTGTTTTTCTTTTTTCCCGCCTCCTGGTGCGTTCAGATGGAGCCTCGTAACTTGGCTCTGGTGTTTGGGCCTACGTTGGTTCGAACCTCTGAGGACAACATGAAAGACATGGTCACCCACATGCCCGACCGCTACAAGATCGTTGAGACGCTCGTCCAACATGTGAGAGAAACACACACAAGTTAAAACTGCACTATGTAACTTTTAGAAAATATGTTTTTTCCATGTCATCAAGTTGTGACCATGTAATAAGAGAGAAAATCTGTGGAAAAAATTGAGCTCCTCCACCTCCGTCCATTGTTTTTGTTGTGGTTTGCAAAAATGCATTGGTTTCAGCGACCAATAAGATCCTAGAGATGTCAATCAACCTCCTGTATGAGGCGCTTAATGTACTGATGGAGGAAAAACAACTCATCGTTACAGAAAATCAATTTATCTGCCGTCATCTGTGGCCATGCTAACTAGCCTTAGCATTGCTGGAAGGGTATGATGTGGTGAACCAGCTGTAGCTTAGAAAAGAGAAAGGAAGACGGTGATTGACAGCGCTAAGACCCGCCTCCTGGCTCTGATTGGAGGATTTCTTTTTCACAAATTATCTGTCTTACTTTATACAGTCACAACATAATGATAATTTTAACAAATATGTAAAAAGCATATATTTTTATAAAACTACTACACCTTTAAGGCTTGTACGTTTGTAATACTGAACGTTTTTTTCTCTGTTGCTGTTTTAGTGCATCTGGTTTTTCACAGACGAGCTCGACAAGGATGAGAAGGTAGGTTTTCCAGTTGTGGCATTCATATCTACAGAGTGCTGTGTGCAAAAGGCTACAATGTTTATTAAATGTAAAATGCCTTCCCTAAATGTTCAGTTTTCCTATAATAAATGCAATTTCCATTTAGGTCTTGTTTAATTTATAAGTTTCAGAGCTTTTGTTGATCTGCAAGGGGTAACATTGGTATTAAAGTGGTAGGGAAACAAAACTGGTTAATTACCAATAAAAATACAAATATAAAACATTAAAAGTACTTATATTAAAATAGTCAAAACAAAGACTGGAGTTCCTTACAAATGTATTGAAACCTTTTAACATTTCCACATTGTCATGTTAGAACGACACACTTTAATAGATTTCATTTGAATTTTATGTTATAGATCAACACAAAGTAGTACATTCCTGTAAAGTGGAGGAAAAAATTGCTTTTTTTTTCAAAACTAAATGTTCACATTTTTCTCCCTCTGTGAATCTCCTCTTTTTTCCATTACAGCTGCAGATCTCTCATGTCTCTAACATCTACTTCTACTAGTTGCTGCTCATTCTTCTTAAAAATCTGCAGCAATTTTCAAGTTTTGCCACCATTTTGCAACTAGATTTAAGTCTGAACTTGTTTCCTCTGAACCAAGATTGGTTCAGAGGAAACAAGTTCAGACGCTGCCTTTGCTGAGTCTTTACAATCGTTGCTCTGCTGGAAGGTGAATCTGCGTCTCTGTCTTAAGTCTTTTGCCGCCTATTTTTTTTTTTTTTTTCTCCAGCAAAAATCTAGTTTTCCATCATCTCTGCATTCAACAGATTCTCCCACATGAGTGGTGGATCTCTGCAATTCCTCCAGAGTTACCACAAGCCTCTTGGCTCCTCTGGTTAAAGCTCTCATGTTAGTTTAGGTCAACATTTTTGCTTTACTTCAGTTTTACTTCACCAAAAATCTCCTAAGCTCCAGGTTAGAAGACACCCGACTCCAACTTTTAGAGCAGTCATAAGCACAAAGGTTCATGTAGATTTTACCACCTGTGCAGTAAATAATTACACGGGGAGGACAAGTTCAGCGGTATATCAGTTTAGTCTGATTGTTTTTATCTGTAATTTCTAAATTAACTTGAGATTAGATGAGGTTGTGTTGATTATCAGAGCAGTGACACCTTTTCTGTAACTGATTAAAAGGAGAATTGCATCATCTAAATATAAACAATAAAAGAGAAACTAAACTGTTAAACACCACTTTTTTATTTTAAGCTGGGACTGTGGATAAGTCCCACTATGTGACATTCATTTAGGCAAATTACATTTGTGGATACACAGTTTGGGACAACAAAACTGGGCTTCTGTTAAAGCTTAACCTACTGCATGAGCCCAATCTTTACAAGCTAAAAGAAGATAAAAAAACAGAGATACACAGTCAGCAGTCCAGGTAAAGAACTGTGTTAGAATCAGTACTTTAAAAAGTAAAATGTAGTGTATACTGGGACAATCTGGAAGATTTTATGTTGTAAACAAAAGTCTCCATGACTCCATGCAATCCTGGGTAGATTATAAATCCACCCTCTATTAGCATCTGGTGAGCATCAACCTGATGCTAATATTCAGATGTTCTTCAAGGAGCATACAAAATTCATATATCAGACAAGGAAATGAATCCGGACGGCATCATTATAAAAAATGTGTTGCACGTCTAATAAAACATTCAGCAATAAAGCTCCTCCTTGCAGTTTGTTTTTATCCTCACAGAAACCGTCCATCCATCCATCCATCCATCCATCCATCCATCCATCCATCCATCCATCATCCATCCATCCATCCATCCATCCATCCATCCATCCATTTTCTTTACACCCTTGTCCCTTAGTGGGGTCCTCACAGAAACATTTATTTTAATTCCAAATGTAGCATATTCCAAGTGCAGCAGTTGCTATAAATGATGACTAAAAGTCTCTAGTAAATTATTGACGAGCACACTTCACCCCCTGGCTTTGGAGTCTCAGATCCTGAGTTTTATTGACTTAAAGAAAATCCTACTTTATGAATAGAGAGTTGTGTTTTTACTCTAGATTTCTACCTTGTAAAGTTAATATCCTTCTTCATGTCTCCCCAGACACCAGTGGACACAGAGGACGTCCAACCCGCCCCCAACATCGACCACCTTCTGTCCAACATCGGCAGGACCGCTCTGCTCGGCGAGGCTTCAGGTGAGAATCGTTTGAATCTAATGCTGCTTTTCCTTCCCCTTTTTGTTACATTACGAAAAGAGACTATAAAAAATAATTGAAACTGGAATGTCCAACTTTCCAACCAGAACTGGAACGCAGCATGAGAACCGAATCCTTAGATCAAAGTGTCTCTGTGTTTGACAGCATGCCTACACTTCTCTCCTTTTTGCTGATCTCTTTTTTTTCCTTCCATGTTGCTCATCTATCACTTTCTCTCTGTGCGTTTCTGCATTTCCTTCTCTTAGCTGAGCCTGTGGAGCAGCCACTGCGGTAGGACGGGAACTCCCCTGGCAGTGTGTGTGTGTGTGTGTGTGTGTGTGTGTGTGTGTGTGTGTGTGTGTGTGTGTGTGTGTGTTGAGCGAGTGTGTTATTGGTGGTGACGACTTGTGTCTCCATGGTCTCCATTTCCCCTGGAAGTTGGCGTCCCCCCTGTCACTGTCAGATTGAGGTCTCTTTAAAATAAAAACCCTGCCACTTCAGTGTCGTTCCAGTTTGACTAATGAGTGACTTGATGCCTGCTAAAGCTGCTGCTGTTTCTGACTCAGAGTGTTCACTTGCAACCAGCTGCATTTCCATTGGCTATTTTGAAAATAAATTTGCTTAAAACTGCAGTATGTAACTTTAATTTAAAAAAAAATCTTTTAACATATTTGTTGAAATTGTCACCATGTGGTGACAGAATGGTATGAGACAGATTACCTGTGAAAAAATCCAGCTCCTCTGTGTTCTCCCAGTGCTAACTAGAAACAACCAATCAGATCCAGGAGGCGGGTCTTAGCGCTGTCAATCATCCTCCTGATAGCACAGCCTGTACTGAATGCTAAGACTTGTTAGCATGATGGCAGATAAACTGTTTTCCTGTAACTATCAGGTGTTTTTCCACCATTAGCACATTTAGCAGTGAGTACATGAAATGATTGACAGCGCTAAGAACCTCCTCCTGGTTCTGATTGGTTATTTTTGACCGGATCAGCAATAGTAGCTCAGGGAGAAGGCAGAGGAGCTCCATCTTTTCACAAATTATGTGACTCGTATTACGCTGTCACAACATGAAGTGGTATACTGCAGCTTTAATAGAAACATGACAATAAAAAAAACTTTGTTTTCGATCAATTTTGATCCTAGGATGAGGATTTGGACGTATTGAAATTGGTTTATTTTGCAAAACTGCAATAGAAACACTTTTTTTTCTCATCCCACAAGTAACATAATCAACAACTAAATGTTGCCACTAGCTCAACCAATGAAGAAGAGGTAGGAGATTGGTGGTGTAGCATGTTTTTAAATGACTTATTCACATGTTATCTTAATTGTGTTTATTTAATTAGAAAATTGTGTTTTCCGACATTAGGGAAATATTGACAAAATTTTGTGCGCATTTATAATGGAAACTTAAAGCTTCTGAGGGGCAGCTCACTCTGACTGCAGAGCACAGCGCTCCACTCATCCTCCAGGCTTTTTTTTTTTTTTTTTCAAATCAATGTGGCCCCAATCATCAGGTTCCTCTAACCTCACTAGAGACTCTTATGGGACTCTAGGTTTTGCTGTTTCCCATGTGCCATATCAAAGTTTGAGTCGTAATTCACTTCCAGGAAATTGTGTGAAGCTCCCGAATGGCGACTGTGATCCAAACCTTCCTGCTTGCACCTGAAAAAGAGCCGCAGGGCTAACAGCAATTGTTTTATTTGACAAATAAATGGCTCCTTTTTGGTAGTGCGAACAAGGGGTGAGCACAATATTTTGTGGCACTATTTGATAACAATAAAAGCGACCATAACAACTATTTATATCTTCTTTTTGAACTGTATGCATATGACATACAAATATTGCTTTTGAAGGACAAAATCAATTTTTAATATGTTTCTTTAGGACATTAATCACATAAAGAAGTGTGATTTGCATCACTAATCTGCAACAGTAAGTGGATTTAATCATATTTTCAATATTTACTTACTCTAATTGAACAAGTAAATGGACAAAATAGAAAAACTAACAATTTGAACAGTCCTAACACCTTTGGGGTTTTTTCAAGCATCATTAACTGGAATTTATCATGACAACGATAAATCAAAATTCTTATTATGATAAAATAATTATCATGCATTTATATAATGGCTTTTAAAAGTGGTGTATGACAGTAGTTATATGATATATTGTAAGTATTGCTTAATAAATGTCAACATTTTAATTTATAAAATATAGTAACTCTTTTGGTTTGATTGCATCTATTCTGTGGTTCTGGTCCCCAAACCCTAGAAATACCAGGGACTCCACTGGACATTGCAAATATAAAATTAAATTAAAAAGAAAACGGAGTTTTCTTGATTCTGGATTTATTTTTAACATCTTGGTTTTCATTTTTGTCTCACAAACGTGCAAGTTAGAAGTAATCTGCTGTTATTTTGGGTTTTTTCCATTGGAACCTAGTAGGTTATATTAAGCCATATGAACTTAATGCACACCATCAGGAAACTGGTGATAAAACAAAACATTTCAGAAAGCAGGTAGTCAAAACACTGAAAAATGTAACATGCAGACCCTTCACACTCCAGAGATTTGAAACTTAGTCTGAAGTATTTACATCCTAATTATCATTTTGATTTAAGCTATAAAAGCACAAAAGTTTTTCGTTATGTGCATTACTTAATTTTCTGCCAATATAAAATCAAATCAGGTCTGAATCAGGTCTTTGCTGATGAGTGTGAGATCATTTTGTTGGAAACGTTCATGCCGTTGTGTGCAGGTAACTCTGCCACCTAGGGGCGGTGGCCTCAAACTGCATCAAGTCTATCATCCTTTCGTAGCCAAACTATAATAAGAATATATTTGAAATTTTATTTGCTACTATAATTTCCCATGTCATGACATATATGCCAGGCTAGACCAATAATTTCATTTTTTGAGACCAGAAGATTAACGTCAGAATTCTGAGGAGAAAAGTCAAAATTATTATTATTTTTTAGTGGTCCTATCATAATATTCTTCATTCAACAAAAATCATCTGGTTGTACTTTTTACTATCTGGAAAAATCTGCTCATTCCTTCTGAAGCCTTGTGTGTCTGTGTTTGTGAGGAAATGCGTTTCCCCGCTTCCTTCCCTGTCGATGATTGGTGCCATCAGTGTTTGCTGTGGTTCCTAATGCTCTCTCTCCTCCCAACTCCAGCTGCTGCTTCCCATCAAATCATTGTCTTTCCCTCCAAATGCTTGAGTCTGTAAACCGGTGTGTTTGCTCTTGGTTCTGACATGATGAGAGGACACAGTGGAAGTTCACAACTCCACATGAACTTTTATTTATTTTGATCTGTGCACAAAGTTGCAAGTCTTTCCTTATTTCTTTAGATTTTGCTTCCAATGAGTCAGATTTTATTGTCGTCTTTTAAAGCTTTCTTGAGGAAATTTCTGCTGGAAATGGAAATGGAAACTTGTAAAAGTCCCTCGGAGTGGAAGGAAAACTTCTTACCAAGATTATTTTTGAAATACTATGATAAAATCTGACTCATTTGAAGAGCAGTATTTAAAAATAAAGGATGACTCATGTTTTGTGTTGCAGCTTTGTGCTGCTGAAACGACCTCTGTGTCCTCCACCATGGCCGCTTTGACTTGTTCACGTTTTAACTTCTGACATCTTCATTTCTTCTTCCACAGACTCAACCAACAGTGACTCAGCTAAATCAAAGGTAACATCTCTCAAACACATGCATGACGGTTTATTAAACGCAACGTTCTGGCCCAAAGTTTACACAAACTGATATTTTTGGGATTTATTTATTTAAGATTGCTTTCTTTAAACTTCTGACCTGAACTGTGACGTAAGACAGAAAGTTCGTCTGGGTTACAGCAGCATTTCCTCCTGTTTCAGGGGTCATGGGGGTCAAAGAAAGACCTCACCGCCAAGGACTTCCTGGCTCTGTCCATCATGTCCGCCGTCACAGGCCGCAAGCGAAGGAAGCGCCACCTCGCCCGCCGCGTTGGAAGCAGCACCGATGATGACTCCGAGCACGAACCGGTGAAAGCGGGGCACCTTGGGATGGAGGAGGAAGAGGAGGCAGAGTCGCCAGGGGGAGACACTGCTCCTCGAGCTGAGGGAGAAGAGGACGAGGAGGAGGAAGACGACGACGAGGAGGAGGAGGAGGAAGTTGTAGCAGGTGGAGAGAAAGAGGAGGCAGAAGAGGAGGTGGTAGCCGTTGTTCCCAGTCGGCCGTGCTGTAGAGAGGAAGAGGAGGCAGGAGGAAGGCAGACAGCTGTTTTGTTGCAGGACGAGGCGGTGCAGGCGGAGGAGGCGAAGGGCCCGTCGTGGAGAGCGCCAGAGGACGCTCGCTCCATTGTCTCCGGCTACTCCACCCTTTCCACGTTAGGGCGAAGCTTGGGGTCGGAGGGCAGGGGCGACGACGCTGACGACGAGCACAGCGAGCTGGTGAGCGAGACGGACAACGAGAGCGGCTTCGTCTCACGCTCCCTAACCCAGGAGAGACCCAGCAAAGAACCGACGACGCCCACGAGCCAGCCGTCATCGGCACCTCGCAGCTTCCTCTACTCCCAGTGCAAACCGCCGCTCCTCTCGCCCATGAACCTCCTCACCCCAGCAGCGCCCACCGTTAATACAGCCGACTCTGTCGAGAGGAGCGCAGGAGGAGCGCGCTCCAACACGCCTTCCTCTTCCTCCTCCTCCAACGCTCAGAGGCTCCACTCGCGGCCTTCCTTCAACTCCCACAAGCTGATCCAATGCGATACTCTGGCCAGAAAGAAACTGAAGTCGGAGAAGTCCAAGGTCCGCTCCCTGGACCTGCTGGAGTTTCAGGTTGAGGGGACCGGCTCCGGGTCCGACAGTGCACCGAAACCGAAGCAAGACCCCTCCAGAACGAACGCTTCCTCTGGCAGCAGCCAGGAGAGCCTGCGCCTGTCCCGGCCGAGACCCGCCCTGCCGCCCAGCGAAGCCGCCTCCTTCACCCCGACGGGCCCGGGCGGCAGGTCTCTGGCCGAGCACGTCCGGGCTCGCCTGCTGGGCTCCGCCGACGACCTGCGCAGCGTGGGGCTGCGAAAACCTCCATCACCCGAGACACGGAGGAAGAAACGAGCGTGGCGGAGACACACCGTGGTGGCCTCACCCACCGAGACGTCCGACAAGAGACCCCCGCTGAGCGTCAATGAGTTCCCGCTCTCCCCCGTCAACCAAAACCAGGTGAAAACTCCAGGAGCAGACAGCCTGGACCATGAACCAGTTACACGCCAAGCCCCCACCTCCAGATTCCACCAGTACCTGTGAAAACCTCCAGGTGCGATCCATTTTGGCATGGCAAGGGGAACCCCAGTGTTGCCAAAGCTTTAGGGTCTTTTTTCTTTGCTTTTTTCTTATTAAAAAAAACTTTCCTGTGCATAGAAGATACAATATGGTGCAATCCACATATTAACCCATGCGCACCAGATGCTATGTGTTGCGCACAAGATATTATGTGAAGCGCACTATGCTGTGTCTCGTGCACTTATTAGTCTATTTTTATTTTTTTCTTCAATGTCCCTTTAGGGGCTTCGTATAAGACATAAACAAAACTCATCATTAATGCCAAAAATTCACAATTTAGTAAAAACAGGCATCCCTTCCTTCCTGACTCGCAGGAGAGATGCTCTCAATTGGTCACAGGAGGGCGCTGTTGTGCAGCTTTGCTCTGGTTGAGAAAAAAAATGGTGCTTCTAGCTAATTCAGCTTAATGGTAAATGTTACAAAAGCTATCATGCAACAGGAGTAAATTCAGCAGATTTCCTTTTATCCTGCTACCAGTCTTCCTGACCTCGCTCACTGTAAAACTCCCGTTTTTAGTCCGACACAAGGACACAGATGTCTGTCTCTACTTGTTAATAACGTCTATGAGTGTTTGTGCAGAAATGATCACGTTTTGTAGCATTTTGTACAAAGCCTTGTTAAGTTAACCTGTGTAAATATAAATGTTTGTTTTCACCTGTGAGCTTTTTTTTTTTTTTTAGTTATTTTTATATGGTTTACAAAACGTGCACAGAGTGCAGTCATTTCTTTCAAGAAGTTACTTGAAATGTTTCCCTTAATATATATTTTTTTGTTTATATTCAATATATATTATATATTTTGTATTAAAGTAAAAAATAAAAACAGTACTTTTATTGTTCATTGAACCTCTTGAGCGTACCTGTTGGAGGGAGATAAACACGACTAAAGCTGTTCCTTATTTCTCCATAGATGGCCTTTCTGATTCACAGCACTGTGCAGACTACCTTTATCTCCTGAGATACTGACTTTTTAATGAAAGCGATCTACTTTAAACAAACATCCGTCAAATCAGCTATCTGGGGATTGCACGTAGCAAGTCCAGCAGATCCCTTTGGGAGAGTTTGCCGACGGCTGAGCTCATCATTGTTTTCGCGTTACCTCAGATCTCACATTTTCACCTTTTTAGTTTGGGATCTTTTTTCAGCCCATCCCCACTGAGCATTCATCTGTCGGCGCAGTTTTTACCTTGGGGGATGTGTGTGGCTGGGAGTTTTCCATAAGGTCAGGTTCTTAATGAATCCTAACTGACTGGTTGAAATGGTACAATGGAGAAATGGAGTGTCTCCCGCCTAACCTATAACCTGAAAAAACATAAGCAGTTTTTATATGATGGCTTAATTTATTAAAGGGAAAAAGTAATAAATCCTCCACCTTAGTTACATCATAAAACGGGGTAATTAACCCTGTTTTGTTCCAGTTTCTGTAACCCTGAAGAAATAGTTTAAAACAAAAAGTAGAAACAAATATAAAAAAAAAAAAAAAAAAGCAACTTGCTCTGACCCAACAAAGTCTTTGACATCTATCAGTCTGGAAATCCATTTCTAAGCCTGTGGGACTGCAGTGAATCACAATAAGAGCTGTGAAGCACAAATGAAATGAACTTCCCCAGGAGTGGCTGACCTTCCAAAAATTAGTCCAAGAAGACATTTATGACTCATCCAGGAGGTCACAAAGGAACCAAGAGTAACATTTATAGCACTGCAGTTGTTTCAGTTAAATTCAGTGTTAATGATTTAACAATAAGAAAGAGGCTAAATTACTGGGCGTCATTCCAAGGCAGACGCTCCCGTCCGAAAACAACACAAAGGTCCGAATAATAATTCGATGATTCCCAAAACATTTCGGAAAACAAGTGGAACTGTTTGGACTTTATTAGAGAAGCATAAATTTATCCGACAGTAAAATACGGGGGTGGTAGTGTGATGATCTGGGCCAAATTTTGCTCTCTGGGGATTACAGTTGTTTAAATGTTGCCAAACTGGTTTGGGTTGCTCTTTTCTATTAATAAATCAAATCCTCATTCATACAGTTGAGATGGTAAGAAAGTCACCTTCAAAACTGCTTTTTGTACTTAATTTGTACCATAATATAAAACATCCAAATGTGACCAAAAAAAACGAAGAAATGTGTAAGATGGGGAACTTTTTCACAAAACCGTATAATAAAGTCTTATGTGTTAAACCATCATAAAGAACTACAAACAACTTCTCTGACCAAATATTCCAGTGAAGAATGATGATAAAGTTCTAGTTTTTTCTTACCTCGAGATTCTTCTACAAGTGCCTGATTTTCTGGAATGCGTTGTTTCTGCGGTGCCATGCGCAGGTCTTGTCTTTTTTTTTAATTATTATTTCATTTTGTCGTATCTGGATCCCCCTCCTTTCTCCCGACGTGGCTGACCGACCCAAAGACGTGTACATTATTAAACTCCGAGTGGAAAACTAAAAAGCACACTTCAAGCCAAGGACGCATCTATGCACTCCCTTCGCCTTCAACAAGAGGCGCTTTTAACAGCTGTTACTAATGCTGCTAAGACGAAGGAAACAATAAAAGGCATAGAAATCCCTCAGCTGCTTCTGCTTCGCCCCTGAAACAAACTGAGGTCATGTGAATATGGTACACCTAACAAGTCCTACCCTAAAACCACATTAGGTCATGCCAGATATCAAATTTCCTGAAGGTGAACAAACCTCATCTGTTGTTGTGTGATGTACTGAAATGTGATTTTATCTAATGTTTATTGTTGTATTTTAAAACTAGATTGTTTTGTACATACCTTAATATGTAACATACTGTATTGTGTACATTTGGAATTGATTTTGACTATAATTGATGACTAAAAAGAAAAAAATGAAAGAAAAAAAAAGCTTGTCTGCCTGAAATTATTTCCCTTGTGGCTGTTTGCTTCAAAACAAAAGGTATATGATGTAAATAAACAGAAATATGTTTAAAAGAGGAGTTGTGAGTTGGGTTTTTGTTGAATGTCGCCCCCTGGAGGTGACAAATGAATAAAGTGTTCCTTTTTTTCAGTCTTAATGTTTGCTTCTGCACAAAAAGGAAACGGCATCCAAATCTTTGAGGCCACTTCCCGTTAAATGCTGCAGTTACAAATGTATGCAGTTAGAAGTGCAAATGCACTTTAATAGTAGGAACATGCACAACTTAACTTTAGATTTGCTTCCTGTGGGAACATTAATCTATTTCTTCCTGCACTGTCACAATGTGAAATCATTACAAAGGGGGAAAAAAAGCCTTGTGATCAAAAGCATCAAACAGCTGCTTTCAGTGACTGCTTCCTGTATCTTCTAGGATCAAACTTTGCAACAAGACACCTTTAATCAAAACTTTATTATTATTTGAACCAATTATAACACACAACTGTCAAAATGGTAGGTCTGGAGTTTGCTTTTGCAAAAAGAAAAACAAAAAAGGTGTTGGCAAGCTGCTCTAGTTTGCTGTCATTTCTTATTTGATTTCTGGAGAGGAAATTAGATTTTTATTTTTTTTTATTTGAAACATGGAAGAGTTTGTCAGCAGATATTCCTATAAAGTTGTACTGGAAAAACAGAAATCTGGTATTGTTAAACATCTTTTTTTATATTTATATATATAAAATTGGAGAATATTCATAGTGAAATATTTACATCTCCTGAAGAAAATTTAACAGGACAGCTTACAGCCCAAATGAGAAAGAAACGTCATGTTGGTTATTGCATCACCGTGCAACGACTTCTTTGTCCAGACAACAGACTGATTACAGAAACTGATAACATTTTTTTTTAAAGAAAAAGAACAGTAGTCCAGTTTTTTTTCACCTTTTTGAATTGTTTTTGAGTTTTTTCAATTCATAGCGACCTGCCCACTCTCCTTGGTGGGCTGACTCTGGAGGAGCAGCTCGGTGTTCTCGGCTCTCAGTCTCTCCAGCTCCAGTTCCAACTCCCGGAGTCGGACCTGGGAGTTCTCCGCGGCGGCCACGGGCTCCACGGCGCGCCGCAGCCGGTTGTTCTCCTCCTCCAGCCGGGACATGCACTTCTCCAGCTCCAGGTACTCCTGCACCAGCTCTTGTTTAGTCATGTTCTGCAGACTCTCGACGTGGTACATCTCGTAGGTTTCGGAAAAGTCCCGCTGGAGGTACTCTCCACCTGCGTTCCCGGGCCTCCCGATGCCGTCGCTGCCGCCTCCTCCGCTGCCGTCGTCGTCGTCTTCCTCCTCGTTGTCGAAGAGGTCCTCCTCGCTTCCAGTGTCCTCCATGCGACCTCCGACCCCAGAGAGCCGCCGGACCCCGGTTTCTGTGTTGAGGTCGGGCTCCTCTCGGTCGTGCTCGTCCATCAGGAACTGGGTGGTGTTATAGGGCGCGACGGGGAGCCCCTTGGCGAACATCTCCTCCCTCATCCGCGAAGCCCTCACGGTCTCCCGCTCTTCCAGGGCTTTCTTCTCCTCCCATGAAAGTTTGTTGTAAGGCTTCCAGTTGCGTTTCTTCTTCGAGGTCCTGCGTCTGTGCCTCTTTTTGCCCAGACGTGCTTCCAAGCCAGTGTCGGAGTCGATGAGTAAATTCTCCACTCCCGACCGGTTCAAAGTCTCCTGCAGCGGGCCGTGATCGCCTTTTTCCCCGCGTTGCTTGTGATCACAATCGGGTGAAGCGTCGGAATCGGTTGTTTTGAGAGGCTCGGTAGCATTCGGGTACTTGGAGAGCTCGTTTCCGGCTGCTGAAGCGGGACACACCTCCCTCCGTCCGCCTTTCATTTGCCATAACTTGTCTGTGTTGATATCCTCGTAGTTCTCCGCCTGACGCTGATGCTTCTCCGCTCTCTGGCGCCCCCTCTCGCCGTTCTGCGGTCCTCCACGGTTGTTGGCTGGGAGATGCTCCAAAGCGTCCCCGCTACTCTCACCTGATGGACTGCCTGAAGTTACCATGCGATGGGTGTGCTCCGCTGGCTCCGTCATCCTGATGATATCCTTCTTATCGGTTCCGTTTTAGCACATCTTAGAGCATGTTCATGCCCAAAAGGCAGAAATTCAAAGTTCGTTAAAAGATAAAAAAAAAGTGTTTTTTTTTTTTTTTTTTTTTAGAAAAAAATAAGATTTCCAAAAAGACTTAAAATGTTTAAAGAAAGTTCACTTTCACGTCTGGAAACAAACTTCCGAATAAGTAAACACTTGTTACTCCTCCAAGGATTTGTCAGAGCAACTGTCGCTAACTACCATTAACTGTTTCAGTGCTGTCAAAGGCCGCCGTCACTCAGAGACTGCATTTCACCGTCACAACTGTGTCCAGTGTGCTACAGAAGAAGAGGGAGTCCGTGTTTATATAGCAGCTCCGCCTCTCTCTGTGCGCATGCCTCTCCTTGTTACGTCTACTGAATTCTGGGATATGCTGTTCTCCTTACAGTAGAGCTAATGCCTGAGACGTCTTCTCTAAACTACATAGTCCACAAGTCTGCCGTAGCTGATGAGATTTTTAACCAATGAGAGTGTACAATCATTCGCCCAAAAAAGACCACCCTCCTTTTTGTTGATTGGGCTGCAGGAAAACTTTGCTGTTGCTAAGCTCAACTAATTTTCTGATTGGACAGCATTTACTGTCAATCAAAAGAGCGCGAGCTACATTAAAAAAGCAGTCCCGGGCATTTTTATGGGCACTACTATTTACAAAGAAAGGGGTAATAAGTAGATGTTTTGATTTAGAAACTGGTTTTAATATTCTAAAATAGTTTATATATTTACCAGAACTAAGTAATCCTATATTCTACTCCGAAATGTGCGACGCACAATTATTTGGAGCCGAAAACGTCGAGAAGTAATTGAGTAATAAAATGTTAGCCCCCTGTAATGCAAGGAATATGAAGCGGTCCTTACATAGAATGTAGTCCGCTTTTAGTGTTAATGTAAAATAATAACAATGAAGCAATCTACTCTCTAAATTAAATAATTTTAAACGGATATGTAAATAAAGATATATGGCTTTTGTGTGCTACTAGTATGATTTGTGAGTTCGTTTTAGCATTACGTGTTGTGCGGAGTGATATGCCGTAAGGCAGGAGCTTTGGGGGTGAACGCTTAAACCAGCGTAAACAAACGACATTTATTGTGAAGCCGCCGCTACGGTCACACTCTCGAACCCCTCGTTGTCAAAGGGTGGGTCAGGCGATCTCACACCTGTTTAATAATGCTGCTATCATCGACGAAATGGTGTAGATCCGTTTTTTGGCAGCCCCAAATGTACAGTGTTTTTACACCGTTGCTTTAAAAGCTAAGGATAAGTTGGCTAACGTTAGCTGTTAACGTTAGTTAGCGAACGGAGCGCTGCGTGGTGTTGCTCGAAAATTAAAACACTGCATCCTTTACATGATATTGTGAAATCACTCGAACCAAAAATAATTAATCCGAAGTTTGGACATGACAGTCCCGAGCGGGAAATAATTCCTGACAAGGGCATATTTGAAGAAAACGTGACGTTCTGCATAAAGCTAGACTAGCTAAAGCTAACTAGCTCGCTCCATGGTTTTATGTTGTCATAATCCAAGTAAATAAAACAACAATACTAAGGTTAAGTAACATTTTACTAAGCGTGTGCTCTGATTCTGTTCATGGTAGACTATTAAAATATAACTAGCAACAGAAATTATTGTATTTACTCCTCAGCTGACTAGGCCAACGTGCTTTCATTGGCACCGTTTAATTCCTGGACTAACACAGTTCCCGTGCAAGTTTTCCATTACATTGTTATCTTTAGTTTAATAAATTTAAGGTTTGCTGCGTCTTTTCAGAGCAATACAAATCACAACCTGTACTATATTATAAGCAAACTGGGAATAACTGCTGTTTGTATTAAACGGCCGCACAACAACTTCGATTAACTGCTATTGCTTCAGGAAGTAGTCAGCACCAGATCTTTGCTTTAGTTCTCGGATAGTTAACAAACGTGTACATGGCACTGTCCTAATATTTTACAGTTTAAACTGCCATATAAACCCTTTATCTGCTTTTGCACAAATATACAATTAATCTACACAGGTGCAAATAGATAAACCATGCACTGGAGTTTTATTTTTATTTTTTGTGTGTTTCACATTTTTTCAGATAAACATAATTTAATGTGTTTGAATTCATTATTGAGTTCACAACACTGTATTTATCTTCAACTCTAAATGCTTAGCTAACACATCCACATATTTTTATAGTACCCTCACAGCTTCCATAAACTGTTTAGCTTTCATTAAAAAGGAGAAATGGGTTATTTGCTGTGTGACCTTTTACAGGGAGTCACTGGGAGTTATTGGTTTCCTCCAAACTGTGCCTGTAAACACCAGGAATCCAATGGCTCCCAAACAACACACAGGCCAACTACTTCTACTAATAGAAACAGGCCCAGTTTCACCCCTGGCGAGTAAGCAAGCTGAACTGTGAATTCTTTGAGGAAGAGGAGGTACACTGCTGTTAATGTGAAACCCTGACGACTGGTAAGACTGGGAAACCATTCCAGAGCTGCCCCCATATTCCTCAAATCAAGGAGCAGGAGCTGCAGCTACACAGCCCAAGCTGCTCCTGCACAGATCACAGCCTCTGAGGATTAGCAGACATGACTTAATCTCACACTCAGTTTAACCTGGTTATTGCTGCTATTGAGCGGAGATAAAAGATATTAAATCATGTAATTTGAGGCAAAATACATAAAGGGGTTCATAAAGACAGGAAGTGCAGATGTACTTTTTTTGTGTGCAATTCAAAAACTGATCCTGAGGCTGCATCAAGGTAAAGAAAAACATTACCTCAAACATTGTACCTCTCAACTCCCCAAACCTGCTTTTTGTGTGTAGTTGTGTCGTTATGTTTGTTCTCCAGGTTAGATCATATTCTTTCTCCAAGTTTCCCAGCTGCTCTGCGTTATAACACACACGAAATATTAATCATCTAATCAATGTTCATATAGTATGAAGAAAAACATAAAGTTTCAGTTTAATGGATCACAACAAATGCATGCACAATGTATTGCATGCACTGAAGGCAGTTTAAGCTTTGGGAAAATTTTTTTTTAAAGTTGTGCAAATGATACAAATCACCAACAGATGGCGCTTCTGCCCCATTTACTGATGAAGTAAAGTGGCGTTATCTTTTTTTTTTTTATAATGGCTTTCAAAATAAAAGCTTGATTACTGTAAAAGGGAAATCCACGTTACATGAGTCCTGAATTGGGGATTATATCACATTCAAAATAAAGGTCCCAGATTATCTTTACAATACCACATAATATTTGCTTATTGTATATTAAATCATGTTCACTTCCTAGTTCCACATTATTTGTGTTTAATAATCTTTTTTTCAATGCATCTTTAATTATGTCCTATTATAAAGTTTCGGCGCAGTTTATTTTTACATCTTTGAATGCTGTGGAGCTATTTTGTAGCATTTCAATATTCAGTATATTAATGCAATACTTATATCCTAATTTTTCAAAATGTGTATGTTATTAATCCATAGCAAGTAACCAAAATGCAAAAGAAAATCACAAAATACTACATTCATTTTATCATTTTTAACATATTTTTGTAAATATAAAATGTCCTAATTTTATCCCTCAAAATTGCCAATACAAAAATATTGTGTGAAACACTTTTGTAAACTAATTTTTTTAGTTAAAGCCAATTTTATAATATGTAGCAAAAAATAAATAGAAATGTTTTATTTAATTTTATTTATTTCAAAAAAGTTTTTAAAAAACAATAGAACAAACAATCAGTATGACAGAGAAAAACATGTGCATACATAACCAAGAACAAAACAATTTCTCGTTTTTATCAGTAGAGTAGCAGTAGTGTCTCAGGAACTTTGTATGTTGGGCCCAGTTTGCATAAATCACATAAAAACACAAAGAAACGGTTTTACATCAGCACAGTCCGTGTTCTACATATGACATTGTGTCATTCATCATCTTACAAGGACATTATTTTTTATTACTGGAGCTGTGGTAGACCTTGTGGCAGTTCCTGTCCACAATGACGCACAGAGGAAGTTTGCATGCTTCACACATGAAGGGAGTAGATCTTTTACAAAGCCTGCACTTTCTGCGCCCCTCAGATGTTTTCTTCGCACCAGTTGCCCCCTCAACGATTGCAACAGGCAAGTGGTCATAGCTCATCTTCTGGACTTTTTGTGAGACTCCACAGAGCTCAGTTGTCAGCTGCTCCAAAAATTGCTGGTGCGTCATTGCCCGCTCCTCCAGTTTACCACACATCTCTTTGTGAAGTAGATAGCTGTTTGTTACAGCAATATCAATGAAATGGTGCAGGATCGTCATGTACCACTTTCTGCTCTTTCGCCGTGAAGAGTAGGAGCCAATCAGCTGGTCTGACAAGTCCACTCCCCCCATGTAGCGGTTGTAGTCCATGACGGCTGGCGGCACTGGAAACTCGAGCTCTTGAAGTTTTCCTTTGACCTTTTCCATTCTTTTGATGGTGTCTCCTGAAAAGGCAGTGTGTAGGGTAGAACATATACTCACCTCCCTCATGTTCATCCATTTGACAAAAATGAGAGGTCCCTCTCTGATCCATCTAATAGACCCTCGTGGCGATTTTTTTGTCAGGGCATTCTCGGTTGTTTTCGGGACACCAATTCTTGTGCTTCTGAATGTCCCGCATGCTCCAAACCCGAGCTCGTAAAGGTGACTGAACAGCGTTGGGCTGGTGTAAAAGTTGTCACAGTAAATGTGGTACCCAGATCCGAGGTAGGATTTTTTGATGAGAGACATGACAACATCAAAGGACATCCCCTTTCCAGAAGGCTGGCGGGACCTCCCAGAGTAAATCTGGAAGTCAACGGTGTAGCCTGTGTTGTCAGACAGCACAAAAAGTTTTATCCCCCACCTTGTTGGTTTGCTTTTTATATATTGCTTCAGGCTAGTTTTTGCTTTTGTGGCTACCATGCGTTCATCAACAGAGAGGTATTGCCGGGGGTGGTACACAGCTTTGCAGGCAATCAGCAAACTGTCATACAGGGGCCGCAGTTTGTGAAGACAGTCATATTCAGGTGTGCCTTTCTTGCCGTCATTGACAGCATCAGCCAGAGGGTCACTCATGTGCATGTAGGTAGTGATGTTTAAGAACCGATCTCTGGACATTACTTGGGAGGGGTACGCAACCTGGAATATTGTGGAGGTTCTCCAGAAATCTTTGAGCTGTGGCCGTTTCAGAATCCCCATGTACAGTGTGAGCCCAATATACCGATACATTTCCCCTTCTGTGACGTCAGTCCATTTAAAATTTTTCCCAGCAGCCAAATGTCTTGCTGCATTTTTGTTGGTGTTTACACACAGAATTTTGATGGTAGTCTGGTCGAAATACATTTTGAATATCTCTGATGGACATGGATTACTTTTGCTATATGAAAGTGGTGGCTGCACACCTGGCTTTCTTTTTGGTAAGAAATGGAGTGGAGGACGTGGCAAATGGTCAGGCTCCTTTTCTGTTTTCCATCTGCCGTTATAACTTGAGTGTGTTTCTGACCTGGAGCGCTTTCTTTTATTTGCCTTAAACGGACTCTTCCGACTTCCGTTTCTCCCTTTTCCTTCCGCCACAACAGAAGGTACAATAGTATCTTCACCCTCCTCATCCTTTTTCTCTTCTTCATCCTTCTCCTCATTCACCTCATCCTCTTTCTCCTCCACATCATCACCTTCACTGCACACAGAGAAGTTACAGATGAGTTAATTTTTTTAGTCTGAAAGTAATATAAAAAAATCACACGTTTTCTGTGCTTTTCTCTCACTCACAAAAATTATATTATATACACACACACTTACTCCTGGAGTGGATCGATGCCCTCAAGAAATTCCGCTTCATCTTCACTGTCGGCAGAATCCGGATCAGAAGAATCCATAGAAAGTTCATTCTCATCATCAGCTGCTGGGGTGAGCCCCAAAGCTTCGCAGAAAGCAGAAAGCTTCTCGTCTCTGGGTGTTTGTGGATCCATAACACTGTCTGTATTGAATGTATGTGATGTTTGGTGGGTGTTGGTCGAGAGCGAGTTTGCTAAAAGCGAGCGAAAAATAAAATAAAATCCACGCCGCCGGAAATGAAGTCACTGATTGCTGTGTACGGAGGCCCCCAGGTGACATGGGGATTTTTATTTATTTTGTTTTTTGTTTGTTTTTTTCTTCTGCATTCCCTCGCAACATCCTTATTGCAATATTTTCTGGTCTATTTTGTCCACAAAAATGTCCATTTAAAATGTAAAATGTATGCACATTTAAAGAGTCTCCGTGTTTATTTCTTTGGTGCAAAAACTGATTGAAAATCGATTTTTTTTCTCTGCATGTTTGTGTCTGTTTGAGTACGGTTGCGACGGAACTGCGCATGAAAACATCCCTTTAAACCATTCAGACAACCAACACAAAGAGACACTATCAAAACTGTCAGGTGACTTATTACCCCGCGATAATAACTCAGAAATAGTCCAAATAGTTTGGATGTATCTTTTGTTTCTTTCCGTCATACGGAAAGTTTCTGTTTATATCATAGGTTTGTGGCGCATTTCCATCCTAAAGAAAATATATAAAACTTCACATATTTCACAACGAGATGTTAACATTCATGAAAAAACTTCACAAAAGCCTCATATTAAAGCAGAAAGTACAACGGACACCGTAAAAAAGGCTTACAGAATTCAATTATGCCTCATTAACCAATCAGTACATCATTGAGAGAGAACGCAACACCTATTGCGAGGTAACGCAAAAGAAAAATAAAATCCCCCTTGTTCCTTAGGGGGCTCCGTAAGATCAATACAGGAAGTGCTGTAAACAATCTTCCTGATCCATATGTACCCGATCTGTTAAGCATAGGGATTTACCCCGCGCCTGGGTTTCTCTGACGTCTTTGAGTTCGCCTTTTTACTATAAATCCGTGAAAGCAAACAGCGTTAAGTGTAACTCTTAAGGTTTTATATGCAAAAAAGAATTATTGCTCTACTTTACCTGGTTTGGAAATAGGCATCAAATAGGAGCAAAAAGGTAAAGAAAGAAGAGCTGCATTCGGTAGATTAAGACCCAAATGCAATTTATCTGCACATATTTGACAGTTGAAATAGAAATTTAATAGACAAGTACAGCACTGTGGAAAAGTGTTTACCTTCCTACAGATTAGGGAGAACAGCTTTTTTTTTGGTCAAACCTAAACATTTCATATCATCAAACAAAATGAACTGCTGGATAAATATAATCCGAGTAAATACAAAAAGCAGTTTTCAAAAAATTATTTCATTAGTTAAGGAAAGAAAGCACCAACCTAGACCTCCTTGTGTAAAAATAATTTAAAAAAAATCAATTGGTACAAAAAATTTTTTTATCACAGCTTTGCACATTTATTGAGTATTGTTTAAATGCTTAAATAAATAAAATGCATAAGTGTATGTGTGCAGTCTGTACTGGAAAGTAAATATTTACTTTATTTGATCATGTTGTGTGTTTCAGCATATCAGCTTTCAGCATTATAGTCAGTGGGCGGGGCTAACGCTGCTACACAGAAGGTGATTGGTCTGCAAGTAAAGTCCGTTTAAAGTTTCACGGTGGACTAGTAGTTATATAGCCTATATACTATTTTAATACGTACTGATATTGATTTGTATTTATTAGACTTCTAAGTATTTAAATTGTAATATTCTTAATTGTATTTGTTGAACTTTCTAAAAAAAAAGTATCCTTTATATAATTGACTGAAAACATATTTTTGTTTTAGATTGAGGCACTTTTAGCTACAGAGAAGTTCCCTTTAGCTGCTTCCTGAAATTAGTCGAGCGTTCCTGCTCTCTTTTATCCGGGTTCCTATTTGTTGGCGCAACATAAAGAGAAGCAGGAGGAGGCGAGGACGTCCCAACCGAGCTGTGCGCCTACGCTCGGTTTGTGAATCGCGTTACGCCCAGGCATGGAGATCGCCGTCTGGGGGAGGGACTTTTTCACATGTGGAAAGAGGAATAAATGTCTCTCTCAGGTGGCTCCTCCAGAGCTCGGGGACGGTCTGGGACAGCTTTAAGACACCTGCGTCCTCAAACCTTAAAGTTAAGGGCGCGCGTAAAATACCCGGGTAGCAAAAGCTGAAGTCGCGTAAACTTTACAGTTTCGTCAAGTTTTATTAATGTCAGGCAGCGGCAGCAAGTCAGCGACCACCGGTCCTAAGGATCAGAAGGGGACCGCGGCTGAGAGGACCAGGGACCCCATTAGGAGGCTCGGTAAGAAAATCTGAAATCTCAGTGTTGTCATAAAACGGAGGTGCGCCTCGGCTGGCACTGGCTTAACGTAAACATTGTGTTGACTATGCGAAACTGATTTTGCGCATCGACTGAAACAGAATCTCTTCTACTAACTTATGACGTTTTATTTAAAATAAAACCCGTGTTTACCTCCTGACCTCTGGTTTAAATGTCATTAATGTGGATCTGCGCCTTTTCCCCCCCGCTTGTATTCACATGAATTCACCTGCAGTCCTACAGCTACATGGTTGTTCTGCTTTAAGGGAAACAGCGCAGCAGCTTCTCTGTGTCAGAGTTTGCTGCTGATCACCAGATAATCTCTGGTCACTGACGCATCTAATATATCTGCTTGCGGTGAAGGATGTGAATCAGACTTTTCTACATTCTCATCACAGTCCCTCTTGCTAACAGCTACACCTTATCCCGAAATAGATTCCTGCTGAGCAGCTGGAAAGGTGGACCAGACTTTAGGCTCACTGTACCTTTTGACCTATTATCCTGGCTGAACCACCCTGAAGTTCCTTGGATTCATTAACAACTTAGAATATCAGTAAAATGTAAATTTATTTTACAATTCAAAACGTAAAGCTAATATATTCTTTTATATTCTCATTACTCACATGTATTCCAGTTCCTTATTTTTGGTCATTTTTATGAATGCGTAAATTCCATTTCTTGGAAATTGAACATCACCTAAGATAAATGAACATGGATATTTTTTAAATTGAGAAATCTTATGGCTTACACAATGGGAACACTCCTGACTTGACATTTAGTCCAGCAGACTGTTGATGAAACTGGCCACAAGGAGGGTGAGTCACACAAAGGTTGTTGAAGAGGTTGGCTGCTTGTGGAGTGCCATTTCAAAGCATATGAATGGAAAGTGTAGTGGAAGGAAGAAATGGGACGCACAGCAACAGTGATATTCTTAAGAGAATTGAGAATCAGAACCCTTTTAAGAGTTTGAGAAAGATTTATAAGCCATGGACTCTGGCTCAAGCAGTGTTTCGATTATAAATGTGCGCTATTTTCTAATTGCACTGTTTCCATTAAGTAAGAAACACAATTAAAATAAGTTTGTTCACATTATGAATCGTTAAAAACATGTCACATCAATCACTTCCCGTTGACATCTTTGTGGTTTCCACCAGTAGTAACATCTGGTTGTTGATCATGTGACTCTTGCTCTGTCATTTATGCTAATTCTAGTAAGCATGGCCACAAATGATGGTGGACAAACTGTTTTCCTGTAAGGGTAAGTTGTTTCTCTGCCATTAGCACGTTCAACAGCGCTAAGACCCTCCTCCTGGCTCTGATTGGTTGGATTTGGTCGGGAGCTGTGCATTTCTTCAGAGGGCTTATGGAGGAGACGGAGGAGATCAAACTTTTCACAGATTATCTATCTCATATTATAATGTAAGAACAAAGTGACAGTTTTAACAAATATATAAAAAAAACACTTGTTTTACATGAAAGTTTCAGCTTTGAAGCCATTTACTATGTATTACAAATGCGACAGGAATAAACCGGCATGAGTTGTTTTCCAGTTGTAGATCTAAATGAATGTATTAGTAGTATTTTAAATTTCTTTGATCCAGCTAAATTTCTGCTGCAATAAAACCATTTGTTAAATCCAGCAATTAAAGTTTCTGACTTGAGACTCTGACTCTTCCCCGACACTCACTGAAGCATGACTGATGTCTCAGCCGTGCAACTGTATCCCTCCGCTGAAAAATCTAATGTGCAACTGCCAACGCTATATTTGAATCTCCTGCTAATATAATTTCTACTGAAGGAGGTGAGATCACCCGCCTCCTTCCCAGCCACCACATGTCCCTCTAAATCAGTCCAGTGGCCTTCAGTCCACTCCTGTTATTTATTTTTAATTCCTATTCTCATCAGAACTAATGTCACAGAAAAAGCTTTGCCATCCTCTGATGAGCTGAGGTCAAAGGTCGTCTGGAAGTGTCACAAGACCGCTCCAACTTTCCTCTGCAATGCAGGAAGAAAACAAAGTCTTGCCAAGTATTTTTGATCTGGTTTCTAGTGCAAGTGCACTTGAAATAAGACAAAGCTAGTGATTGTCATATTGTCAGCAAGAAATAGGAGCTTGTTTTAAATAAATAATTCCTTAATATTGATGAAAACATAGTAGTTGCACTTTCAGATTATTTTACTTATAACTAGTACATTTTCATTAATATTAAGGACTTATTGATTTTAAACAAGCTCCTATATCTTGCTGAAAAGTTGCTTTAAAGCTACTTTTGTTTTACTTCAACTGTAATAAGATATTTTCTCTATGCTCAGTCAAAAGTGCTAAGTAAGATTTTGTGCAGATCTAGTAGTTCAGAATGATCACACACAGACAAATATGTTTCTGGAAATCTGGGGATTCATTTTCAGAGTCTTAAGTGAAAAACAATGTCTGGACCTTAAACTTGGGTCCAAATTTAACCCAGGTTTGATTTGTGAATAGTTAAACGTTGAGGTATGCTTGTTATAAACAAACAGATGATAACAGGGTTTTTGGCTTTTATATCTCTTCATAAATACATATTTTTGACAATCAAAACGTTAACTAGGACTTGATTTCAATACAGAAAGAACATGTCAGTCAAGCTTGATGACAGTAAAAATCTTCTGTTTTGGGGAATCTAATCTTGATTTCCACAAGAGTTTTTACTATGTCTTAGTGAAAGTCATTCTTAATGAGTCACTTATTCTTTTGTAGATAAATTATCATATCCAAGCTGCACAGCTCCAGATGCTGCAATGCTTAACAATTCTTCTGATAAAACTTTTTTTTTTTTTTGTTGAAGCTCATAAATATAATTGTGAGTCACAAAGTAGAGTTTACTGTTTTATAAAGGTGGCACCACTACAGCTTTCTGATTGTTGACACGTGTGCTCAACTACGGAAGACGACCAGGGCCTCTGAAAAAAAAAAAAAAAAAAAAACTGAATTCTGACTTTAATTTCAGAATTAACATCAACATTCTGAGAAAAAGTCTGAATTTTGACATTTTTTCTCAGAATTCTGAGATTAAAGTCAGAATTTTGACTTTTTTCTCAGAATTCTAAGATTAAAGTCAGAATTTTGACTTTTTTTCTCAGAATTCTGAGACTGAAGTTAGAAATTTGTTTTTCCGTGGCCCTAATCCTTTCTTTATAATTTTAAGCAATCGGTATCACTTCTGTAAACAACATGTTGGATTGTTTTCTACACATCTTGCCGGAAAGCAACACTAATGCTTTTATAATATTTTAGAGCGCTTTATGACAGAAACCATAGACTTAATCGACACAAGAATGCTATAAATTTCTCCATGCCAAGTTCAACTTGTGCTATAATCCATTTCTGAACGTGTTTTATTTATTTACAAGCACATAAATAAGCTCTGATTTCTTAAAGCAAACAAAGCAGAACGATTAACTCAAAATTGCTCGTTTTCATCCAACTCTGCAGGGATTTCTTGATCAGTTGTCCAGCAAACATTGGCTGCTTCCATCTGATCCTTATAAGACAAAACTGAGAAACCTTTAACTGGGACAGCAGCTGCTGCAGAAGCCCCTAAACTGTTTGTGCCATATGTAGTGCAGAATCTGTGCTAGCTGGCTCTCGTGACAGTTGTTATGCTGAGAGAAACATGAACCCTTTTTCACAAGGAGCGGCTGGGAAGCAATCATGGGAGAGAACTTTTGCAGATGTCATCTCACCAGTTAATATACAGTTTGTTTTGTTTTTTAAAGACTTCTGAATCGCCACATAGTCTTGCGATTTTTTTTTTTAAACGGGGTTGAAAAACAGGGTTTAGTTTTTCAGAATCAGAACCATGATGTTACTTACAGTTAAAAATATATAAAGATTCCCATGAACTGCAGCTGTGTATTTTTGGCAGGTCATTATGAGTTAGAAGCACTGTATAAAAAAGCCTACATACAATACACCTCCACAAGTATCATCACCGCTGGAAAAAGGTCTTAAAAGAAATGGTTGTTATGGAGACGTGGCGACTCCAAGATGCCACATATTGCTGCAGTTTTCCTTCAGTTACACTTTATTTATAAACATCCCTCATCATTTCTCTCTCTATATGAAGTCAGATGAACGTGGATCTTTTTGTTTCTCACATTTCAGTTGTTTGTTTTTTTTGTAGCTGTTGCTCTCTGACTGTTGATGCGGACAGATTTAGGAGGATTTAATGTTGTGTTTCAGCCATTTCCTGACTTTTAAAGATCAGAGCGGATCTGTTAATAGAAACTCAGCTCTTGTCGGGTTGAGACATGAGATGCAGTTAGACTTGTACTGAAGAAGAATGAATGCTGAAACTGAAACAAAAGGTGTTGCAACACTATGCAAACAAGTTATTCCACCTGTTTTTATTTGTTTTTACGCTGTATTACGTCGTTGGTGGCAGAAGTTTGAAATGACTGTGTAATAATTTGATGCTGTTTTGTCAGCTTGGTGTGGTCGCTGGCCTAATTGTGGGAATGCATCACATGGTAGTAACAGCTTAGAAAAACAGGCTTGTTATGGATGGAGCTCTGGTAAGGGGGTTTCTTTGTCTCCGCGCTTGATGGGGTGAATAGTGTGCAGGGAGGGGACGCTCTGTGTGCTTTAGCTTGCAGGGCCCCAACCCTGTTATCCTCCTGGCACTGACAGCATGAAGGCTGGGATTTAAAAGCAGAGGAGAAAGGAGCCATGCAGCTTGTGAGTGTGGTAGCCTAGAAGGAACAAAACCCAGAAGAAAAACTTGTGTGGAAGTTGTTTGGACTGAGAAAGTTCTGTCTCTGTTCAACCCTGGAGAATCACTGAGGCATGGATCCATTAAAGAGACAAATCACATTTTTTAAGCAGGGTTCTGTGCAGCAGTTATGTGTAGTTAACATCTTACCTTTGAGTAACCAAGACTAAAGCATGTCCTCAATTTTTTATGATTAACAATTATGATAACAGGATTCGGGCCATTAAAAAAAAACATGCAAATATAGTAAAAAATGTTCTGTTTGCATAGTCAAGGAATAAAATGAACTAAAATATTCTGACAGCCTGGTCCACAAATTGACCTTTTCAGGCTTCGTAATCGGGGTTCAGTGAGAAATTAGTGGAAGGTTAATGACTTCAGGAAAATGAATAACATTTGAGTTGCTCCCAAATTTTATTTAATTTAATTAAAAATTGCTTTAAGACTCATTAATGTGGTAAAAGTCTTGGAAAGTCCTGTAGAATCCATAAAACCATCCCCACAACTATCTACACATCTCACTTATAAAGGCCAACATTATAATGAGGCCAAAGTACAGGACAAGATGGGCCTGGCAGGAACTAATTCAGCTCAAAAGTACTTTATTTATCCCACAGACGGCTTAATTAGACGGCATAATTCATCCAAATAGAAGGAGATGATTAAGATGTGAGCAGAAAGGATTTCTGGTAGCAGTCAGTTTTGCAACACATCTGAAGAGGCCTCTGACTGAAGACTGTTGCTGTATGACCGTCTCTTGACAGCAACACGTCCTGGGAAGACCTGCTAAT